AAGTCAGACAGAAAATGACAATGCAGATCTTTTCTTAAGACTGTATCAACCTGCAGTCCCAAAGCTAGGCTTTCCTAGTGCCCATCCTGCATCTGTGGGGTGCGCCCCTTTTTGCTCAGAATCTATCAGTCGTCTTGGCAACATGGGGATGGGGGGCTGTAAACCCTTCTCAGAACCAGATTGCCTGGGACTCCAATGTTATTATTTCTCGGTGAAACCAAGCCACTGAGTTTAAGTTTATTATGAAGACACTGAATTTTAATCTGCCATGAATTCCCCACATTGCAGGTTGCAGCTGTGTCTGGTAAATGTTGCTCCCAGAACAGTGTTAATTTTTCAATATTTTATTAATTTCTTTTCCAAAGTGACAAAATGGCCACGTGGTCATAGACTGAATATTAAGAATTCTTCTCCTTTGGAAGATTGTGTAAAAGTCAGGACACTTGGGCTGGAAAAGAAGTACTTATATGTATACCCCAGTTAAAATTTCCACAGTGTTTTTTCTTTCTGATTGATGTAGAGTTGGCAGTGACCTCCAGCACTTGGGTTAGAAATATCTGATTTCCTTCTCTCTTAGGTGGTGAATGATCTACAAACAGAGAAATCCATTAGAGAAGCTGAATTTATGACAGAAATAAAGAATCCTAATTTACTGGCTCTATAGGCCATTCACTTATTGATTCTCTTCAAGGGAAGGATGGGCATTTTACTATATTTAAGGGGAAAATCTTAAGGGTTATTCTGGTAAATGAGTGTTCTGGAATCTCAAAGCCTAGAAGAAACCCGGTTTATAGGAGGAAGGAGAAAGCAAAGATCATGGCAGGTAAGAGTCAGGGAAGATGCAGTAAGGGTAGATCAGAACTGGGAGTGTATACACTGAATTGGGAGTTTTTATGGAAATTTTCTAGTGTATTTAAAATTGAATAAATTTATCATAAAATTATCATAAAATTATCATAAATCCCTTTATGTTAGCATCACACAGCATTGACAGTTAACTCATAGCTATGTTTGTTTTATCTATTTCACTCTTTCCCCATCTAGTATTATTTGGAAGCAAACCCCTGTATCCTTTTATCCATATTTTAGTAGGTATTTGTCAAAGACAAGGACTCTTTTAAAACATAACTTCAACATTACTGTCATATCAAAAAATTAATAGCACTATTTCCATATTATTGTCAAATAATCAAGTCAATGACTACCACAGAAATTTTCCCATTTTTGAATTTATGTTACAGTTTCATCTTTATGAAGGTTTGTTTGAAATAAGAACAAAATAAGGTAAACACATGTGATAGTCTAAGTCTTTCATCATCTGTAACTTCCACTTCCATCTTTTTGTCCCCTTGCACTTTTATTTGTTAAAGGTACTGAGTTATTTGTCCAGCAGACTTTCTCATAGATTATATTTTACTAATTGCATCACTGTGGTGTTTTAACGTGTTTTGTCCTCTGTATTTCCTGTCCAATGATATCCAAAGCTTGATTAGATACAAGTGTTTTGGATTCAGCACTCTTCATGAGATGATAGTGTGTTTCTCTGTCAAGTGGCACAGAATGCCTGGTTGTCCCTCATGTAGTGATGTTAGCAGTGGTTGATGATCAGAGCCTATGCCATTTGTTCATTAGGTGTTGAAAACTAGGGATATTTTAATTCTGTGAATCTTTCTGGGGAAAAAAGAAATACCTTTATAAAGAGAAGCAGCCATCTCTTCTACAGTTTAGTGATTCAGTGATGCAGTTGATACAGGAAAGAATGGTTCAGTGTTTGCAAACTCTTTCCTTTTATGTATTGATTTTCAACATGAAAGTTGATTCACAGGCATCGTCCAATAGTAACAGAGGCACAAAACCAAGTTTTTATTAAGTGTCTTTACAATCTTATGGATTCATATCTATTTGTATTGTTTCAAGTCCATTGAATTGTGCAAATTGGTCCTCAGATTGCCCCCTCTTTGGCCAGTGGAAGCTGCCTCAAGTTGGTCCTTTGACACAGCCTTGGCAGTCATAGATAAATAGCTGCTTCTAGGCCTTTCTTTGGGGTCACAGAGAGTTGGACACAACTGAGCAACTGACCTGAACTGAACTGAGGCCTCTCTCTTTTTTTTTAATAGAGATACGATTGCTTTACAAATGCTGTGTTAGTTTCTGCTGTACAAGGAAGCGGATCAGCCATGTATTTACATGTATCTTCTCCCTCTTCAACCTCCCTCTCACAACCCCCCATCCAACCCATCTAGGCTTTTCTTTTGTAGGACAAACCTAGGTTCCAAGCCCAGCTCCACCACTTGCCAGCACTTGACCTTTTAATATAATCTAAATTCTGAGCTTCTGTTTGCTCATCTGTAAAATGGGAATAATCATAGTATTAATACTTACCTTTATAGGGTTGATGCAAGATTAAAATAGTCAGGTGCTTGGCAGTGAAGAGTAAGGGCTTAAAATGTTAGCTTTATTATTATTTGAATTAATGAAGAGAATTATTGGGGTTTTGGAGCTTATAGATCATTGCATGCTAAGCTGCTTCAGTCGTGTCCGACTCCTTGCGACCCTATGGACTGCAGCCTGCAAGGGATTCTCCAGGCAAGAACACTGGAGTGGGTTGCCATGCCCTCCTCCAGGGGATCTTCTCAACCCAGAGATCAAACCCGCATCTCTTAAATCTCCTGCATTGGGCAGGCAGGTTCTTTACCACCAGTGCTACCTGGGAAGATCATATAGATAAGAAGGCATAGAGATCATTATGCCCTGAAAAATCCTGCAAAATGAACCTCACATTAATGTAAGAAAGAAGACAGTCTTTTCTGTGGACTGGCAGATGGATGGTTTGGCCGTAGAGCTGAAGACCACACTTAGAATTCAGGGCAGAGGAGAGTGGAGAAAGAAGCATCGGTGTGGAGAAGGCCAGAGACCACCCACCCCGTGAGGCCAGGCACCTGCTGAGGGCAGAGGGGGAAGTCCCTTCTGAGCTCCCCACGCCCTCCCTGGATGGGACCTTCACTGTTGCCAGAGCACATGACAGGGAGGTGAGTTGAGAGCTCAGAGAGGCGTGAAGCAGTTCTCAGCAGCTCAGCCCCACCTGCCCTCCCACCAGGCCTCAGGAGGACGCTGGGGCAGCCGCGTCAGCCGGTCACAGCCTGGCCCAGCTCTGCGGTCGCTGGTCCTTTTCCACCCTGGTCTCTCGTTTCCTAATGAGCAAGGCGGGTCCTCTGACACTGAGACTCCGGCCCTGATGCGGGTCTCAAGCTTCCCTGGGCTTGGGGGTGGGGAGGAGAGGAGCACTCACAGGAGCAACAGTCAGCCTTCCCGGAGTTTCCTTATAGGAAATGCCAACCCATTCCAGCACTCTTGCCTGGAGAATCCCATGGACAGAGGAGCCTGGTGGGCTACAGTCCAGGGGGGTCACAAAGAGTCAGACAGGACTGAACTGACTTTGCACACAAAGGATTAGCAGCAGCGGCTTCTTCTTCATCATCTTTTTATAAAATTCAGTTTTTCAATTTTTGTTCACCTAGTCGACTGTTATTTTTGTTTTATTTGTTTTTTGCTTCATATAGTTCTGCTTTTGTAGGTAGTAATCCCTGCACTCTTATTTCTTCAAGTTGATTTTTATCTTTTTTTAGGTTTTTGAGCAGAAAATTCAATTCATGTAATTCTGCTTTCTTAGTTTCTGTGAAATGCATCGAGACATTTATTCATGCTCTCTACCTTTCAGTTCTAAATATTTTATAATTTCTATTTGAATTCCTCTTTAGCTATGAATAACCTGAGAGATACGTTTTTATAAATTTTCACAGGCTTGGGTTATTTTCTTTGCTATAAGTTGTGTTATTGATTTCTAATTTTATGGCACGTAGTCAGTGAATATGACTTCTAGAAGGTCATATTTGGGGGAGCTTGTGAGAACTTGTTGTATGCCTTAAATCATGATCATGTTTTATTAATGTTTTGCATAGGCTTTAAAAAATGAGTTTTCTGTTTGCTGAGTGCTGAGTTCTTAAAATAGCAGTTAGCTCCAGATAGGTAAGTGCTGTTTAGAACCTCTTCAACTTCAGTGTCTGGCAAAGTTCTCATCAAAGCCGCTGTACTCTGCCAGGGTTTGAGACACAGAAATGTCCATCTCAGGCTTATTTGCTTGGTGTAGCTGACAAAGAATACCATACTTCTAGGCCAAGGAAGACAATGGCTCTAATGTTTTTGCAAATCAGGTTAAATTCTCTGGAGTCTGAATTCTCTGACCCCCAGCTTAACTTCAAACTCTGGTTTCAAGTTGATAATCTTTGGCACTCTTGATAATGGATATTTGTGTTATGCAAGAATTGAAGAGAGGAACTGATAAATATCTCCTCGAATAGCAAAAACTGGAGGTTGACTTTGAGCCATGTCTCAGGGTCAGGCATGTCTTGAGGTCCTTTGGTGCTGGTCTCTGTGGTCGCATGGGCATCACGTAACTTCCCTGAGCCTTGGTCTTCCATCGATTATGTGGATGTGATACCGCTAGCTATGAGAGGATTGTGGTGTGAGTTTCAGTTGAGGCAACAGACATAAAAAAGTACTTTGTAAATATAAAGGGGGCTTCCCTGCTGGCTCAGACAGTAAAGAATCTACCTGCAATGTGGGAGACCTGGGTTTGGTCCCTGGGTCGGGAAGATCCCCTGGAGAAGGGAATGGCCACCGTTCCAGTATTCTTGCCTGGAGAACTCCGTGGAAGTGGAGCTTGACAAGCCTCAGTCCATGGGGTCCCAAAGAGCCAGACATGACTGAGCAACTAACGCACACACACAAACTGTAAGGACATCCTCAGATATCCCACACAGGTTGAGTGCATCTGTGAAAAAGTAGCAAGGGGAAGTGGTCCCAGTGCATGTTACTTACCTCCCTGGATGCCCTGGAAGAAGCCTGGACTGGGGGGGCCTGGGAGGAATGTTTGGAGGCCCCTGAAACTCTCCGTTTCCTTCTCTTGTATCCCCTCAGCGCGGGCAACGGAAACTGCAGCCATGACCACCCACGTCACCCTGGAAGATGCCCTGTCCAACGTGGACCTGCTGGAAGAGCTGCCCCTCCCTGATCAGCAGCCATGCATCGAGCCCCCACCTTCCTCCATCATGTACCAGGTAAGTCCTCCCAGAGCACCGGGACCAGGATGAGGGGCTCAGGAATTCTGGGGACCCCCTGAGAGGGTTTGCCCTGCAGGCAGGGGGGGGTGCTGCCTGTATCTAGAAGGTGAAAGGTGTGGACTGATGGAGTCCCCGGTGCAGTGGTGGAGCTGAGTGTAAGAAATAGATTAGCTAGTAAACGTCTACCAGTGCTATTTCTCTTCCCAGGGGAAGGCTTGTTGATCTGTTCTGACCCCAAATACCTTCCCGGCTGTTCTTGCTGTGGCACCAACCAAGGTCTTGGCAGCTCTGACCTCATGAATTAAATATCACCATTAAAAAACCCCTAGAGCCTGCCTGGGTAATTACTTTTTCTTCATGTATGTGAGAAGAGATCTTCAACTCCCCACAGCCAATAATGGCTTGGGGAAGCTAGTCACAGTTATTTGCTTTTGCCCAAAAGAGGCAAGCTCGTGACAAACTGTGATCAGATTGCTCAAACTGATCCCACTGGGCATGGTGGGAAGGGTATTGGTGCAGCTGGAGTCAGCCTTGCAAATAGCACCTTGTCTGAGTGTGCTGGGCGAGTGTACCATGTTAAGGAAGAGTAAGTTAATTGTAAATTTTTAGCTTTTTTGCTGTATTTGACCTTTTGAAAGTTCTGGAACTGATAAATGAGACTAAGAATAAATGCATAGTATATTTTTAATTTCATTCAATGGCTTGATTTATTAAGCACATGCCTGAAGGTTCAACTCATCAAGTTGGTTTATTCACATTGCCTAACCCACAGTAAGTTTTTAATTATGTAGATATCTTTTTATTATAAGCAATACAGCAAAGAATAACAAATAAAAATTTCCCTGAAACTATGTCTATATATACATGCATATACACACACACACATCTTTTTCCCATGTAGATATATAACTTTTTTTTTTTTACCAAAAGAGGATGGTAAAAGCCTCTATGATTTGACTTTTTTAACTTAAAATTTATTCTGGGTATTTTTCCTGACAATACTACAATGCTGCCATACTATTTTTAACCAGCACATAGTACCTATGAGCCCATTTTATGGATATGCTATTATTTATTTAGCCTTTGGCTGTTAATGGACATTTGGATGGTTTCCAGTTTTTTTATTACAAAAAATTAGTGCAGTTATTATTCTTGTACAGAGGTATCTGCACCCTCAGGCAAATATTTTTGCAACAACGAAATGAAAACAGTGTATACCTTTCCTTTTCTTTAGTATCTTCACCTTTAAAAACATCTTTAAATTTTTAATGCAATTTTTAAAGGTTACATTTCATTTACAATTATTGCAAAATATTGGCTATATTCCCAGTGTTATACAATACAACTTTGAGCCTATCTTACACCCACTAGTGTGTACCTCCCACCCCACCATTTTGCTCTTCCCCTTCTAGAAAAAAACCACTAGTTGTTCCTCTATATTTGTGAGTCTGCTTCTCTTAAAAAAAAAAATCTCCATTTTTAACAAGCTATTTAGGCTTGTATAGTTTAAGTTTTTACTTGTGAGGCTCTCTGGGTGAACCTGATTACCCATGGGAAGCAGATGCAGCCCCTGTCTGTGGCCAGCTTCTGCCCAGGGGAATGCAGGGTGGGATTTCTCGATGGAAGAAGAGAGGGCGGTGTGGAGATAGATTTCCACAGAGAACTTGGGCATTTGTTGGCAGCAGTTTATTTCCTGGACACCCAGCCATCTTGAACCTGTTTTCCAACCACTAAGTGTTCCTATCCTTTAATTCCTGCAGGCTAACTTTGACACAAACTTCGAGGACAGGAATGCATTTGTCACAGGCATTGCAAGGTACATTGAGCAGGCTACAGTGCACTCCAGCATGGTAAGTCTCTGTGACCCTCAGGCACAGACACAGCCCTTCCTGGTGGGGGCAGGGCTGTGGGCAGCTTCTCTTGCCAGGGGCAGGGGCTCAGCTATTCCAAGAACCCACTGCCTCAGAAGGATCCATCTCCTCAAGCCCTTTTTCAGGCCCCAACCATCCCCTGTCCATGCCTGGGCTACACTCGTCTGTATCCTCCAGCCTTGCAAATCCTGCTCACCTTTGGGGCCCAACTCTATTCCCACTGTTTGCTTTCCTGAACTTCTCTCTAGCTTTGGGGTTAACAGTTGATTAGATCTTGCCTTGTTTTGTACTTTATAGATTACTGGCTGTGTGGAATTTTGGCTCTGGACCAAAGCACAAAGTTTCTCAAAGTTTTGGAGTAACACATTCTTGACTGGAGGAAGCTGGTGGCCTAAATCATTCACAGACAAGGGCCAGTGGTTTGATGGGTCTGTGTCTGACCCACCTGTGTGGGTACCTTCCTCCCTTTGGCTTTCATGATTTCACCCTCATGCATCACTGACATTTAAAGAATTCAGGGACTTCCCTGGCGGTCCAGTGGTTAAGACTGCCCTCCCAGTGCAGGGGGCACAAGTTCAATTGCTGGTTAGGGAATTAAGATCTCACATGCTGCGCACATCCTGACCTAAGACATAAAGTAAAAAGTTTAAAGTTTCTTTAAAAAGAATAAAGAACAAAAGAATTCCACAATTTCTCATTCACAGGCTCTGACTGCAGCTCGGAGGACCTTTCTCACTATATCATCAATAGGCTAAACCCTTGTCTCACCACACCCTGCCCATTCACTCAATAAATATTGTGTGCCTGCTACTTGATCAGATCCTGCTGAATGCTGAAGGGCTGAGGGGCGGAGGTGGGGGAGCACGGCGTGTATGCAGGGACAGGTGGGGTCTTAGTTCTCAGTGAATCAAATGGGAAATAGACAAACTTAGCATTTATTGAATATTTTCTGTGCAGGTATTTCAAATGCATTGTCAATTAATTGTCACCTCAACCCTGGGAAGAATGTCTTATTACAATACCCACTTTATGGATGGGGAAAATGAAAGTCCAGAAAAGTGAAGTAACTTACTCAGGGTCCTGCCACTGCCAAATGACAGAGCTAAACCCAAATCTGTTTGACTATAAAACATGCTCTAGACAAGTCTTTGCAGACAAAAATGTACAATGTTGAAGATAAAAGACATGGTGAAAGTTCAGAATTTTTAAGTGGCCTTGAGAGGGTCAGAGAAAGCTTGTTGCAAGAAGTAGCTTTTGAGTATAGCTTTGTATATTTTGCACACATACACACATTATAACTATATATATATACTTACATATATATATATATTGTACTTTAAACTCTGTAAAATTTTCTCATACATAATATCATTGGAACCTTATTACAGCCTGTGATTTGCAAAGAGATCATTATACACATTTTTGGGATGAGAAAACTGAGACCTAGAGAAGTTAATAAGCAGGTTGCTCACAATCACACAATTAGTAAATCACAGGGCTGAACCTAGAATCCTGGACTTATGATTCCCAGCTCTGACCTCCGCTGACCCACCCAATTAGAATTTTATGTCAGAGAGGAGATGGGGAGGGCATACCAGCTGGTGGAAGAAGCGTAAGGAGAGTCTCAGAGGCAAAAGTCTTCAGAGTTTCCCTGGATTGGAACTGTGAAGTCCATGTAGGGAAACTTGGTGATATTCATAACGAATTAGGTGCATAGAGGGTGTCTTAGTTTGCTAGAGCTGCCATAACAAAATGCCACTGACTGGGTGACTTAAATAACAAATTTGTCTTCTCCTGTTGCTGGAGACAAGAAATCCAGTATCAAGGTGTGAGCAGGGTTGGTTTCTCCTGAGGCCTGTCTGTGCCTTCTGGCTTTGTCTTCACATGGTCGTTTGTCTGTGTAGACACACGTAAGGTGTCTCTCTGTGTCCAAATTCAGTCAGGCTGGATAATGGCCTCGTGTTAACTTAATCATCTCTCTAAAGGCCCTGTCTCCAAATAAAGTCACATTCTGAGGTCCCAGGGCTAGGACTTCAACATATGAATTTGGGGGTTGGGGGGTGACACAAGTCAGCCCATGACAGAGGGCTTTCATTCATTTAATAAAAAAAGATCAGTAGCAATAGACAGTTTTCATTAATGAGGAAAATGTGAACAGAACTACACTTGAGGAATAAATTTCGCTTGTTAGTTTTGTGCAGAACGAGTAGTAAGGAGGCATGAGAGAAGCAGATACATCAGTTGAGATAAGGTTATCTACCCTGGACGTGTCAAGGGCCGGATGAGGGCGGTGGCCTGAGGAGTGCCTGAGGGGTCAGGGATGTAAGAGGCTCGGGGGGGCGACTCTGCCTGGCTTCACAGTCTGCTGGGGGCTGGGGCCGAGGGGAGCTGGAACAGTGCTGACTGAGGTTTCCTGGAAAAACCAGGTCAGGGGCACCAGTAGGGATGTCAGAGGAGGGGCCAGTGTGGAGAGGGACTCTATTCCTTTTCTATTGCTGCTGTAACCATTATCACAGATTTGGTGACCTAAAATAACACAGATTCCCTTGCTTACAGTTCTTTTGGTCGAAGTCTGACATGGGATCTTACAGGATTAAATCCAGGTGTTGGCAGGGCTGCATTTGCTTCTGAAGGCACTGGAGGAGAATCTGTGGCCTGGTTTTTCCAGGTTGTAGAGGCTGCCTGCATTCTTTGGCTCAGCCCCCTTCCAGCTAGCAGTCACACCACTTCAGTCTCCATCCTCACGTCTCCTGCTCTGACTCTCTCATCTCCCTTGGGACCCTTGCCATCACACTGGGTCCACCCAATAACCCAGGACAACCTCCCCATCTCGGTGTTGCTAGCTTCATTCCATCCTTTTGCCATGTAAGGAATTGTTTCCATAGGTCCTACATTTTAGGTTGCAGACATCTTTCTGGGGGCCACTATTCTACTGACACAGGGATAGTGCTGATAAGGTTTTAGGCAAAGTCCAAAATAGGGTGCACTGCTGATGTTCATGGATAATACCCAAACCTCACTTCCTCAACAGTTTCATCCTTGTACCCTGCTCAGACTTTGTCTAGAGTAGCTTATCAGCAACAAGAGGCTTCATGAGATGTTCATTTTCTTGTCCTACTCCTGCCCATACTGGGGCAAGGTGGAGCTCTCAAAGGGCAGGATAGCCAGAGAAAAGGGGAAGAGGAGGAGACAGTGTGTAAACCATGTAATTGACCAGCTACAAGGAACAGTCAAGGGTTCTTTGCTGGGAGTGAGGTGGGGACCTAGTGTCCAAAGTTAAGTGCTGAGAGGTACAGTCTGCCGGAATCTGAAACTTGAAGTGAATTCACATTGGGTTAAATTACGGACCTACAGGATCTTAAAAATGTAAAGAACATGAGAGAGCCTTAATCCTGCAACTATAAACCTGGGCTGCACATTGAAATCACCTAGAAAGCATTAAAAAAAACAAACAAACAACCACTCATGCCTGGACCCCTCCCCCAGAGATAAAGATTTCATTCCATTATAGTCCAGCCTGGGCATCAGGAGTTACCCAGGTGACTCATGGGTAGCCAGGTTGTGAACTAGTGATTTAGGCCAGAGATCTCCAACTTCTGGGTTCTAATGCCTGGAGATCTGAGGTGGAACTGATGTAATAATAATAGAAAGAAAGAAAGAAATAATAGAAATAAAATGTGCAATAAATGTAATGCACTTGAATCATCCTGAAACCACCTTCACCCCCCCACCTTGGTCCGTGGAAAAATTGTCTTCCCTGAAACCAGTTTCTGGTGCCAAAAAGGTTGGGGACTGCTGATTTAGGCCAATTCTCTGCCTCCAAATGATGAAACCATGACCTTTTCCAGGTAAAAGGTGGGTCCAAGCAGAGCCAAGAGCAGAACTCAAATTCCCTGAGGCTCTATCCACCACACCATCTTGACCTCTATATTCCAGGCATGATTATACAACAAACCTAACTGATGGTCAGCTGAGCTGCCCACAGGGCAGAGTCCACAGCATTCTTGTGCCCTGGCCTGTTCCTAGCAGGGAGCACTGAAGGCGGATTGCGTGAGTGCTCAGTGAAAGGTTCAGTGGGTGAATGAGTGGGATCCTAACACCTGCCAGTGGGCAGCTTGATGCTCATAATTAGACACATGTTCCCTACATGTTACTGTCACTTCCCTTTTCTGACACATGTTCTGAAGCAAAGGCAGCAGAAGACCCACAGACTTGATCTTGGTTCTTTCTGGTCTCAAGGACAACATGTTACTGATTTAAAGAGTTCTCTAAATTAAGAATTGAAAGTGTGACTCGTCAGTAACATTTGCTGTTGAAAACAAAACTATAAAAAGGAATAAGCTCCAAATTAAATCTGATCTTGTGCTAGGAAGGTATTATGAAATAGATATGATGTGTGGGATAAAAAATAATTGAGTAAAGGCTCGTTTTTGTATCAGTATGAACATTTACAAAAGAGATGGCCTAGTAATACTATTTTTTAGTTTATTTTTTGAGATGTCCTTCATATAACAAGATTCACCATTTAAAGTGTACAGTTCACTGTTTTTATGGCAGATTCACAATGTTGTACAATCATTGCCTCTGTCTAATTTCTATCACCACAAAGAGAAACCCCAGACCCTTTAGCAGTCCTTCCCAATTCTGCTGTCCCCCAACCACTAATCTGGTTTCTGTTTCTATGGATTTGATTATTCTGAACAGTTCGCCTAAATAGATCGCGTAATAGTGGTCTTATGTGTCTGCCTTCTTTCACTTAGCATAATGTTTTCAAAGTTCGCCCATGTTGTAGCATGGATCAGTACTGCATTCCTTTTTACAGATGCGTACTACTCCTCTGCATGGCTACATCACATTTTATTTATCCGTTCATCCATCGATGGACAGTTGGGTTGTTTCTGTTTTTTTTGACTGTTAGAATAATGCTGCTGTGAGCAAGTGTGGAGTTTCAGTGTGGACATATGCTTTCATTTCTCTTGAGTATATACCTCAGAGTGAAATTGTTGGATCATATGGTAACTCTGTGATTTAACTTTTTGAGGAACTGCCAGACTATCTTCTCCCTAGTAATACTCCAAGCTCTCTTTACAGATTGCGTAGCGTGTATGTGTGCTTGTGGGCTTTGCCACTGGTGGCTCAGTGGCAAAGAATCTGCCTGCAATGCAGGAGACATGAGTTTGATCCCTGAGTCAGGAAGATCCCTTGGAGAAGGAAATGACAACCCACTCCAGTGTTCTTGCCTAGGAAATCCCGTGGACGGAGAAGCCTGGTGGGCTATAATCCATGGGGTCACAAAGAGTCGGACACGACTAAACCACCACTGTGTTATGTTTGTATTCTGTTCAGTTCTCACAAAATTCTCTGAGGTTGTTTCTGTCATCATCATTATACAGATGACTGGATGGAGAATTTTAGGTTAAGTGACTTCCTGAAGGCCAAAGGGCTAAGAAGTGATGAAGCTGGGACTTCAGCCCAGATATTTAGACCCTGAGTTTAGGGTTCTTTCCACTGAAGCAGTTACTAGGTGAGGTGAGTAATCAGGTTCATTTTTCATGCTGTTGTTAATTTTACCATCTGCTCTGTATTATTTTTAAAAATCTTAATCTTGATCTTAACCATCTTCCTGAGTATGAAATAGCAGCATGGGCTCTTATTAAAATGCAAACATTATAGCACTATGTGAAACGAAAAGTGAAAGCTCCCATTTATCCAGCTCCACAGAGAGCTTGCTCCTCATAGTCTTGATATGTATTCCACCAAGATATTTTTCAATACACAATAATATTGTGGTTACTCTTGAAATCATGTCCAACTCTTTGCGACCTCATGGACTGTAGCCCAACAGGTTCCTCTGTCCATGGGATTTCCCAGTCAAGAATACTGGAATGGGTTGCCATTTCTACCTCCAGGGGATCTTCCCACCCCAGGGATTGAACTCACATTGGCAGGTGTATTCTTTACCACTGGGCTACCAGGGAAGTCCACACAATAATATATTATACTTTCACAATTTTTACTCTTTTTTTTTAACCTACCTGCTGTGCATTCTGTTTGGCTGCTTGCTTATTTTCTTGCTATCTGGGACAACTTTTGCCGTTGGAACTAGTGGATCTGCTCCACCTTTCTGAGGTAGCTATCTGTCTTTGAAAAGTGTGTCCAGCTGATAGAGCCCTGGGGTGACTGATGAGGATAATTTAGGCCAGTGCTTCTCAAACTTATTTTGCACCAGGGAATGTGAGTTCCCTGGGGATTTTATTGAAATGCAGATTCAGATTCCAAAGGCCCAGGGAGGGGCCTGAGACTCTGCATTTCTAATAAGCAACCCCCGCCAGGCAATGCTGATACTGCTGGTCTAGAGACCCGCACTGTGAGTCCAAGGATGTGGCGGCAAGGGGAGCTGTGGAGAAGTCTTCTGGCCCTGGAGTAGTTTCTCTCTGCTGAGCTCGTTTTGCTTTTCAGAATGAAATGCTGGAGGAAGGGCACGAGTATGCGGTCATGCTATACACCTGGCGCAGCTGCTCCCGGGCCATCCCCCAGGTGAGCCGGTCCTGCCCCACAAGCGGTGTCTCCACCCTCCACCCACCCCGCCCAGGTTCCAGACCTTCTCCCAGCGCCAGGGAGTGAAGTGGAGTCTCCCACCCAGGGGGGCTCACTGAACACGTGCAGAGAGCATCCCATAAAACTGACGCCAACTTCAAAAACTTCCTCATTATCCTTTTATTTTGAAAGCAGTATACGCTAACTGTACAATACCCAAACCACTGCAGAAAGATGTAAATTAGAAAGCAAGACAGCCTCACCCCCTCCCTCCACCACCCAAATCCCTTCCTCCCACCAAAACGTAATCACTATGGACCCTTTGCTGCATGTTCATTTGACTCTCTTTCCTCCAACAACATGAATATTTCTGATTATTATTTTGTAAATTATTGTCATTTACAAAAGTGTGTTGTTCTTATTTATATGGTTCAGCCACTTGTTTTTTTACACTTCATTCTTTATAGCTGACTTTTTTCATGTTGACACAGATAGTATTTTTATCATTATCATATTATATTCATGGGTCCCAGCATCACCAAAGCAACAAACCCCAAGTGTGTAAACAGAAACCATTCCTCTCCCTTGCTCCCAGTCCTAACCCCCAGCGGGAACTGCTTACTAGCAGCTTGGTTCACACCCTTTCAGAGTCTCTGTACCTGTATTATATATGGGCACACTAGCACATGCACTGTTTTGTGTTTTATTCAATAAAAACAGGATTAAATTACCCGTACTTTCCTGCAGCTATTTCCACCCAGATTTATGGTAGCAATCTTTCCATGTCAGGTCAGAGACCTGTCTCATCGCCCCCAACAGTTACATTAATGGTAGTGCATCATATTAATACTTTATCCATTTAATCATCTACCGGTGGATGTTTAGCTTGTGCTACCATTTTCACAATTTCTAAACAATAGTATGAAGAATGTCCTTGTGCTTATTACCCTTTGCTGACTCTTCAGTGTCGATGACCTGTTAGCAGCCTTGTGTGCACATGCTGTGAACACACTCGCCACGTGGTTCTGATGTGCCGAAAACCCCTGGGCAGAGAAAATGGACTCCTCACTGGGCCCAGGTGCAGACACGGGCTTTGCCCCAAGTGCACTCAGAGCCGTGGACAGACATTCTTCTCTGCTTGGAATCTGGCAGAGGCGCGCCCCCCACCCCCGGGGTAGGACTGAGGGGAAGATGGAAGGAGGGAGACCTTGTAGATGAACATAGACGTGCGTACAGCACATGGTGGGGGCCTAGAACAGACTGTGGGGGAGGAGGGCTCCGTTCTGGGGACCAGCTGGTTTCCTTCCTGCAGCCGATGTCTAGGGAGCAGTCCTGCCTAGAAGCACTCACTCTTAATCAGGGCTGCCCCAGCCTCCTCTCACTGTGTAGCCACCATATCACTTCTCATCCTAAATGAAGTGCATTCGAGAGTGAAAACGGGCCCTATTAATGAGACAGCAGGTGTGAACCAGGACTGCCTGGGCAAACCAGGGTGTGCGAAACCCCCTGTCTCCCTGCAGGTGAAATGCAATGAGCAGCCCAACCGAGTGGAGATCTATGAGAAGACGGTAGAAGTACTGGAGCCCGAGGTCACCAAGCTCATGAAGTTCATGTACTTTCAGGTGAGGGGTCTGGGTGGGTCTGGGCTAGGACAACTGAGAAGGCCCCCACCTTCTAGACACAAGGGTCTGGATTTCTGTGCCATGTTATTCATTCATTTGGCAAAACACTGTCTAGTGCCCCTGACCCACCCCAGGGTGAGCAAGACAGACAAGCACCCTCCCTCCATACAATTCACATCCTAGTGGGCAAAGGAGAGTATTTTGGGGGGGAGGAGAGACCGACCATAAACAATACACAGCAGAACATGTGCTGTGAATAAAGTGCAATTAGCAAACCTCTGGCCTGGAGAGTGTTTCCGACATGGATGAACTTTAGGGCCAGCCTCAAGGGAGGTGGCGTTTGAACTGAGATCTGTATGATGTGAAAGAGGTGGGCAGGTGATGATCCAGGGGCAGAGGGTTCCAGGCAGAAGGAACTGCAGAGGCAAAGGCCCTGCAACCTCAAGAAGCATGACGGGTTTAAGAAATGGAGCAAAGCCAGGGAGGCTGCATAATAAGCTGAGGGAGTGAGAAAAGGTGAGGTTGGGGAGGTGAGCAGGGACTCAGTCATGTAGGGCATCATAGCTGTGAAAAGAACACGGATTTTCTTCAAGCATTACAGGAAGCTGTTGGAAGTTTCTGGTGACATGATCTGATCAGAGAGTTGCAACAACGTTCTTGCTGCTGTGCAGCTAGTGGGTGGGAGGTAAGGGGCAGGTGTCAAGGGTGAGGGAGCGGAGGTGAGGGGAGAAGAGTAACAGCAGGGACCAGCTGGGAGGCCAAGAAGAGCCAGTGTTTAAAGGAGGAAAAGAGAAAAGATGGCCAAAGACTCCTGTGAGTGACAGGTAAGAGGGCAAGCTGGTTATCGTGGTTTTGTTGGAAGCCATTCAGGAATGCAGGCTGAGCAGTTTAAGCCCACCCCGTGCCTGGGTGGTAGTCCTGCCATGCACTCCCTGCCCTCCATGTGTTCTACATGTATTTATGAGCCTCCTAAGTAGACATGCAAGCACTGGCCCAGGCTCAGCCCTGTGCCCAGCTCTGTGCTGGCCTCCTGGAAGTGGTGGGGAAGATTCAAATAGAGCCTTGAATGCAGAGCAAGCCAAGGTTCTGCCACCTTCTGGCTGTGACCTTTAAGTCATTTCAGACCTCTGACACCTTCAATATTCTCACCCTCTGGAAAGAATGCCCATTTCACAGGTTTTCTTTAAGGATAAATAAGGTCCATTAGTAAAGAGCCCTATTTGTAGAGCCCTGGCTATAGAGCAGGTTTACTAACTCACAGGTGCTATTATTATCTTCATGGACCTGCCTTCAAGGGGCCTAAAAGCTCTTTGGGAAGACAGGTCCAAGATAGCAAAACTACCCAAAAATGAAGTAAGTACTAAACTTACTTACTTTATTGAGGGCCTCCTGACAAGATGTATTTAGAGAAGGGAGGCCATGGAGTAATCGGAAACTCCTCTGTCCAGGACAGTCACCAGTAGCCATGTATGGCCGTCTACATGAATTCAAATTAAATAAAATGTAAAGTGCACATCCTCCTTGGCGCTTGCATTTCCAGTGCTCGGTACTCACATGTGACGTTGTGTTGGACAGTGCAGATTCAGAACATTTCCATCATCCTGGAAAGTTTTGTTGGACTTACACTCTGGAAGGAGAAAGTGGCTTGATCTGGTCTTTGAAGGTCTCCCTATCTCCTTGCCTTGCTTCATTTTTCTCCACAGCTCATACCACATTCTGATATAGAGAATTTATTTGATATTTTGTTTTCTGTCACCCATCACTAGAATATAAGTTCCTTTGGGTAGAGACTTTTTTTTCTGTTTTGTTCCCCGCTTTACCCCAGGGCCAAGAATGATGCTTGGCACATAGGAGATCCTCAATAAACAGCATCTATTGGATGAGTGGAGCTCTTTCTCTGACGTCCCTCTCACTGTCCATTGCTACCCCCTAATTATCCAGTGCCTGCCCTGTCCTAGGTGCTAGGATACACTCATAAACAAGACAGCATGCTTCCTCAGCAAGGACGGGGTGAATAAATTCATTGGTTTGGCTCGCTTGGGGACAGGTTCTGGGCTTCCCTCTAGAAATCAGCTTAGGATTTCAGGACTCCTCCGAGGAAGACCTCTGGGCAGTTTTGCCTTTCTCTAAAAGTCCAGGCTCTGAGGAGAGCCCCCAGAGAGCCTTGACCAGCTCCCCAGCAGGGAGCTCAGCGAGCCGCCCCACCAGGCCGCCCGGTCCTGACCCGCTGCCCCTCTGCCCACAGCGCAAAGCCATCGAGCGGTTCTGCAGTGAGGTGAAGCGATTGTGTCATGCCGAGCGGCGGAAGGACTTTGTCTCCGAGGCCTACCTCCTGACCCTGGGCAAGTTCATCAACATGTTTGCAGTCTTGGACGAGCTGAAGAACATGAAGTGCAGTGTCAAGAACGACCACTCTGCCTACAAGAGGTCAGGGCTCCTCTCCCTCCCCCGCCCTGCCTTCCTGGGCAGCCGGCCTGTGGGAGAGAGAGGACAGAGCCCTCCTAACAGGCTCAGAACCAAGCTCGCCACCCCACAGACACAGCAGGGCTGGGTCTGCCTCTGTTTTTGCAGCTTAGGGAATAAGATACCGAGCTGAGCCTTGGAGAACTGGGTCTTGGCAGGGTTTTCTATCGAGGTGGAATCAAATCCTCATTTACCCCACCAGTGGAGCAGCATTTTCTGTGTCCCATGCAGTCTGAGATTATATTATGATTAATATAATCCTAAAATGGTCACAGGCGTCATTCTCTGCAAGAATCAGAAAGCCAGTTCAAACTGCTCATGTGAAAGACGAAACTGGGTTGGCTCCCAGAACAGAAAAGTCCTGGTCTACCTGATCCAGGTACTCAGGTGATGCTGTTGGTCTGGTTCTCTCTGCCTCTCAGCTCATCTTTCCGCCGTGTCAGCTTCATTCTAAGGCTCATTCCCCGTGTGGCCTCCAGCAGCGTCCCTCCAATCAGCGTAGCAACCCCAGTTCCTAAGGAAGGAAAAGATGCAGCTCCTTGAAAAAATTTTGCAAAAGCCCCAAGAAGGATTCTCCTTGCTCCAGCTTGGATCTTGCGCCGATCCCTCCCTCAGACACTATGTATGAGTGTGTTGGGGTGGTGCTGATGGGAGGGGTGCTCGCCTTTGGGGTCAGTTGATGGTCAGTGTCAGCTCACAAGAAAGGACTGAGGGGGGGAGGGGTCATTCCTCTCCAAAAATTTGCATACAGCCACCTCCAAAGTGGGGGAGGGCAGGTGAAAGTAGCAAATCCACCTGTGTTGCTTGAGGCTCAGATAAGCTCCAAGGTGTCCATACATATCTCTTGGGAAGAGTTTGCTGTGTCATGATGAAGAGGGCCCCTGTCCTTGAACCATGTCCTCCTGGGGCTCCGAGGTAACTGGAGAAAGCAGACAGCAGACTGATCCTCGCTGATTTATCCTCTTGAGTGAACTGAAACCTGTCAGTACCCAGAAGGCAGAGCCCCATTCAGAAATGGCAATTTCACAGAGATCCCATAGACAGCTCATAGTACAGTGGCTTCCCCCCAAACTCTCCCCAGATGTGGTTGACTCCTGCCATCATTGTCACAGCTGACGTGCTCTGGGCACCGGCTGGGACCTTACTGTGTCTTGTCCGTGTTCCACGGTCCCTGGTGACACGGGCTGCGCCAACTCCACCTCCAGGTCAGGCTGGAGAAGTCCCAGTGCCGTGGTTTCTTCCCTTCAAGGCCCGCCGTGTTCCCCACACCCATCATCCCTTCTGTCCCATCAGGTTAAATGGACTTTTGTTTTCCCCACAATGTTTAGAAACATTGAGATTTTACTGCAAATAACGTAATACCCAACAAAAACAGAACATTCCGCTGCTTGTGATATTTCCCCATGACTTACTGTGTAGTTTTGCTGGAGGTCGCTACGAGGCTCAGGATGCCCGTTTCACTAGGTCCTGCCCCCTTGGGCTGGCTGATGGGATGCTAACTACCCTTAAACTTGCCTAGTCTTTGAACTTCAGTGCATTCTTGCTTCTTAATTTCAGGCACCCTTATTACAGGGGTGCAAACAGCTACAAGTGAAATGACTCCAGAAGAGGCTCTCCTTCGATATTAGAGTCACTTGTGCCATTCAGAGCCCTGCAACTTCGGGGGTAGTGTATCTGGGTTAGGTGGGAGCTGAGGCCCAGCTTAGGGCAACTATTCATGAGCATCCCCCTCTACACCACCCTGTCCAGGGCAGCACAGTTCCTGAGGAAGATGGCTGACCCCCAGTCCATCCAGGAGTCGCAGAACCTGTCCATGTTCCTGGCCAACCACAACAGGATTACCCAGGTGATGGCAAACCCATGTCAGTCCTGACTTGGTGTCCTGGGACGCAAGCTGGGGCCTGGAGGTTGGGGGACCCACGGGCAGAGGAGCTCCGCCAAGATCATTCATTCCCTCTGCTCTACTCAAGCTTTAAGCTGCAGATTTAAGTGTCTCTTCCCAACCACAGACGGCCACTTCACCCTCTTCAGTTTGTTCTTAGAAAACCTTCTAGCCAGTGTTCGGCCCCGGTATAGGTTGATATAGGTTGAGAGCTTGGCTTCTGGAGTTAGACTGCCTTGTTTTCTCATCTTGGACCCTCCATTGCCCTGCTGTGAGGCCTTGGGCAAGGTCTCAGCCTCAGTTTCCTCTTCTGTAAAATAGGGCTGTTTAGGATTGCAGTGAGAAATAAATGAGATACTATAGCATGTAGAGCTTAACAGACAAAGACATAAGAAGATGTGGTTATAGTTAGCGCCATGGCTTTCCCAGGATATTCCCACTCAATGGTGAAGGGGCCTGGGATGGAGACCTCAGGTCTTCTTGTATAGGAAGTGTCTTTGTACTGCTGAGTCCTGTACTGGGAGACGCCTGCTGGCCCATTTCTCCTCCACTGAGCTGGGTCTTCCCACTATCATCCTTGGAGACATTTGGGGCTCAGTCTACACACACCCTCAGAACTAAGCCGAGATGACCACAGGCCAATTGCTGTAAAGCTGAACTGCTTTCAGTTCAGCCAGAGAAAGCATTTCTAACCATGAGAACTGCCAGGAAATACAGTGGAGGCCCCCTAAGGGGCAGGCCCCTGCCCCGGGTGATGTGCGGCAGTTCTGACCAACCACTGTAGACTCTGAGGAGAGGTTGCAGGCTCCGCTCCACCTGGTGTGGTCAGCAAGGCCGTGCCCTGCCCCGGGGCCCAGCAGTGAGCCATCCCGGGTGCTCTAAGTGAGGAGGATGCAGGGCAGGGGCTAACCAGAGGGGGGCGCTGCTGTGTAGTGTCTCCACCAGCAGCTGGAAGTGATCCCAGGCTACGAGGAGCTGCTGGCAGACATTGTCAACATCTGCGTGGATTACTACGAGAACAAGATGTATCTGACCCCCAGTGAGAAGCACATGCTCCTCAAGGTACAGCTCCCTCAGTCACACCCTCTCACCTCCTTCTTATTTAAAATCGTTTTTAAAAGTTATTTCTTTCTTCTTGCTTCAGCATAGGGCAGATCTTGCTATACAAAAGGTTTTGTAACCAATTTTTTCCCTTTGATATGTCGTGTACACCTTTCTAGACAGCATTAAGGCTATGTCTACAATGTGACTTTTAATGGCTACCTAGTATTTCATTATATGAGGACATTGTCATTTAACAAATCCTCTATCATTTGGTATTTGTTTGCTAAAGTGCACTGAAACTCTGGGGCACTTTGTGTCCGTACTCTTGTTAAGTCAGACATCCTAGAGGAAAATTGCCAACCCATGGGGAAGGCAAAACTTATAGCTTTTACTATATTTCGCCAAAACGGTCATGTTTGTTTCATCAGTTTACACGTTTCATTTTTAAATTATCAAGTGATGTTTATCATTGTAGAAATTCTGAACAGAAAAGCATTAAAAAATCAAATCTCTTATAATCTTTCCACCCAGAGATAACACTTTTAGCATTTTGATGTATGTCTTTCTCTTTTTTTCTGTGCCGATATATTTTCAACATATGCAGTTTACATAAATTATGTATGTGTATTATTTATCCCATTTCATTAAATGCATTTGGAATAACATGCAGCCCTTAAATAATGTTATATGGATGAGTTTCCATTTCTTTAGCCATTATTCTGTCCTTAGCTGCTTAGGTTACTTCTAACTTCTCTCTGAAAGCAATAGCACTGAAATGAATAATGTTCTCCATATTCTTTATACACTGCATCACCTCTTTTGTTTTTTTCTCCCCTTTCAGAGTTCCCCTGGTGATTTGACTTTTTCTTCCTCTCTATGTCACCTCTTATTTCAAGAATACCAACCCTGTTGGTGTTCCCTTCTTTCCATAGCATCTCGAAGAAGGTTGCAGGAGAGTGTGGCTTTGTGACTCATTCACTCTGGCTTCCTCTGCACAGTCAGAAGTTCAGAGAAGTCACTCAAGAGTTCAGTGGCTCTCTCACACCAGTGCTTTGTCCAGGCAGTTACCACAGCTCTGCCCAGAATTGTTGCTTCCACAAGTTAGGTTACTAAACCCCGCTTCACCAAGCATCCTTACATGCTGCTATCAGATTCTCGGCTCTTCATTTCTCTTGCCTGCTTTTAATCCTCCCACATCTCGGCTTCCCAGCCTTCTCCCTCTCAATTCTCAACCTGGCCTCTTGGAGTTTTGCCGTCTCCAAGCTCTCTACGGTGTGTTAGTAAACTCAGATGCCAGCAGGGGGCGCCTTTCACCTTAAAGGGAAAAGTCTGGCACGCCCCCTGCAGCACCACAAGTACCCATCCCCTAGCCCAGTCCCTTAGGTGTCAGGCATGACTAGTCCCCCGTCACATAGCAACTGCGAGCCGAGGAAGCTGCTTTCAACCTAGTTGTTCAGGCTCCCTCGGGCTTGCTGTACATTTGACAAAAGGAGCGACGTAAGCCAGCATGCAGGAAACTATTGGGTTGGCCAAAACATTTGTGCTAGTTTTTCCGTTACATTGTATGGAAAAACCCGAATGAACTTTTTGGCCAACCCCATATTACACGGACTGGAATGTTTAGAATCAGCTTGTCAACCTGCCTATAGGGCACTGTCAGCCAAAATGTGTTCTTTTGGTTAATGAAGTCACCAATGAGATTCCTTGGGAATCTTTGTTGTAGTTTCCTTGGGGAAAGGGTGAATAGTTTCACATTCATTTACCATCTAGTGAGTATGCATCAAGTGCCCGCAGTGTTTGCCAGGGCCTGGGGATGCAGCAGCAGCATCACTCAGTCTTTCTTGAGAAGGATCTAAGTGCATGTATGTTGTTGTCAGATCCCGGTTCAGATCCTATCTCTGCAGCTTACTGTCTGTGTTATCTTGGCAAGCTGTCTAACCTCTCTGTGTCTCCAGCTCCTCATCTGTAGAATAAGGTTATCATGTAGAATTTGACTCATAAGATGGTGAGAATTAAGGATAATGTCTTCTAAATCCCTAAGCATGGACTCTGGCCCATGGGGAGGACTCAAGAAGTGGCCACCACAATAATAAATGAAAGAGTCCTCTGCTTGTCTTCACAGAAATCAAATTTCTGATTGAGATTAGCTCTACGTGTCCTTCTTTGTGCCAACACATGGGTTTTTGTCATAGAATATGTCACTACAGGGGGTGTGGGTGTGCACATGCCCACGTCAGCTTTATTTTGGTTTTTTGAAACATTTCCAGTGGATGTGACTGGCTTCTGTCTCTGCCTCTTCTCATGCTAGGTAATGGGTTTCGGCCTGTACCTGATGGATGGGAATGTCAGTAACATTTACAAATTGGATGCCAAGAAGAGAATCAACCTCAGCAAAATTGATAAGTTCTTTAAGGTCAGCACCTGGGGCTGGGGCTGGGCAGTGGGCTAGGGGATGGTCTCTCGGGGGAAAGGAATGAAATTAGGCAGCAAAGAGTGGTGCTTATTGATTGAACTGTGGCTCTGAGGATCCCAAGAGGAGGAGGAGGATAGAGACAGGGGCCCTAGCTGCCTTGGGTAGAGGAATCCACGCTATTGAAGGTGTGTGCCCCAGTCTCAGGACACAGCCAGAAGGCCTTGCAATGCTTTCCACACACTGCTTTTACCCTTTCCTGAAACCCCTTGCCATCTAAAGAAAGAGGTATGTCCCAGAAGACAGAGCCTGCTTTAATAAATCAGAGCTCACAATTGCAGGAGGATTAAAGACTGGACGTTACATTGATTCACATTCACAAGCTCACAGACTCTCCTGGTCCACCAGAGGCCTACTCTGCGCCCTGCCTCTGGGTAGAATGCCTTATGGGGTCTAGCCTGCTCTCAGTCCATTCCAGTGCCTCAGAGATTTCATCTTCTGGCCCCAAAGCTTTAACAACAAACCTTGAGGTTTGCCTTTGAGGATTTTGCAAAGGGATTTTCTACTTTGGAAGTCAGTTCCATGTCATCAGTGTATCCTAGCATCAGGCACTTCAGGTGGAATAGAGCCTCTGAGATCAGACATGGGGAAATCAGGCTTAAATTAAAAGTGGATCCCTTTGAAGATGTGGCTGGACCTGGGTCTCACTGACTCTTGGATGTTAGGGGGGAAGTAAGTCACCCAAGGGGCTTCCCAGATGGTGTTAGTGGTAAAGAACTCACCTGCCAATGCAGGAGATGTAAGCGGCGCTGGTTTGATCCCTGGACAGGGAAGATTCCCTGGAGGAGATCATAGCAACCCACTCCAGTATTCTTGCCTGGAGAATCCCATGGACAGAGGATCCTGGTGAGCTACAGTCCACGGGGTCGCAAAGAGTCAGACACAACTGAGTGACTTAGCACAGATGCACAAGTCACCAAAAGCATCCTAAGGCTTGGCTTGGCTTCTTTTTGAAGCTAGAACTTTCACTTTTCTCTAGGACTGCCAAAAATGAAAACTGGGCTTATCTGGGGGCAACTGGAAAAGTCCACCCCTTCCTTAGATCCACGTAAATGAGATGGGGGTGGAATTGAAGACCACAGTCTCACCTCACACAGACCTGGGTTTTAGTCTCTCTCTTCCACTACATAACTGGGTGATGTTGAAAAAGTCACAGAACTTCCCTGAAACTGAGTTCTCTAACCTGAAAAATAGGAATGTGAAGGGTGTCTACTTTATGGTGTTCCCTTGAGGATTCAATGAGTGACATAGGTGTCAGAACCCTGGGTTATAATCCTGGCCCCTTAGCTTCTAGCTATCTGACTTTGTGAAAAAAAAAATCACTCTAGCTGAGTTGTCAAAGCTTCAATTTGTCCATCTTGTTAAATGAGAATAATAGTAGTACTGACCTCACTCCACTATTCTATGGAGTGAGATAACTGTTTTCTGTTTTGCCTAATAGACTATTTTTTAGAGCAGTTTTAGGCTCATAGCAAAATTGAGCAGAACAAACAGACATTTCCCACATAACTCCTATCCCTACTCATACCCAACCTCCCCTGTTATCACAACTCACCAGCAGAGAGGGACATCTGTTTAGTCCATAAATCTGCACTGTTGACAGATCATTATCACCCAAATCCCATAGTGTGCAGTAGGGATAACTCATGGCATTGTGCATTCTGTAAGTTTTGACAAATATATAATGACTGTATCTACCATTGTTGTTGTACTTTGTTGCTAAGTTGTGTCTGACTCTTTGTGACCCCATGGACTGTAGCCCACCCGGCTCCACTATCCCTGGGATTCTCCAGGCAAGAATACTGGAGTGGGTTGCCATGCCCTCCTCCAGGGGATCTTCCCGACCCGGGGATGGAACCCAGGTCTCCAGTGTCTCCTGCATTGGCAGGAGGTTTCTTTACTGCTGATCCACCAGGGAAGCCCCTATATCTACCATTGTAGTATCATACAGAATAGTTTCACTGGCCTAAAAGTCCTCTGTTTTTGAAGGATTTAGCACTGTAGTGCCTCATGAATCAAAAGCAGACAGTGAATACCAGCCTCCCCACCATTAGTCCTCCTCTTCGGATGGCAGTCTGCCCTCTGGTGTTAGGTGTTCAAGGTTTCAACTCACCTTGTGGAGTTTCTCAAGAAGGTCACTCACTCCCAGCCAGAGGAATCGAGGCACTCACATCTAGCCCAGAGTTTGAAATAGCGAGGAGCCTTTAATGCAAGGGAAATTACAGCAGAGAAGACCCTGCCCCGGGAGGCAGGCCCTCTGGTTCTCGTTCTTCATCTGTTCTGCCTGCTGGGTAACCTTGGACAAGTCTCTTTGCCACTCTGGGCTCAGATGCTGGAACACAGAGATGGTTGAAGGCAGAGGAGGACCTGTAGGCTGGCTAAGGCTCTTTGTGGTCCCAGGGTCACATGGCAGCATCATCGGAGGCAGAACTAGGGGTCAGCCCAGAGGCACACACGGAGGCCTGGCTCTCCCAGTGGAAGGCAATGCCGGTCCCTCCCTCCGTGTCTCACAAGCTGTGTTTGCTTCCTTTGCAGCAGCTGCAGGTGGTGCCCCTTTTCGGCGACATGCAGATAGAGCTGGCCAGATACATTAAGACCAGTGCTCACTATGAAGAGAACAAGTCCAAGTGAGTGCCTGCCGTAATGTCTCTCGGCTCCCGCGAGGACGCCCAGCCCGGGCAGGGGGCCGAGGGGCCATTTCAGCCCCTCCCCTCTTCCCAGACCCTGGGCAGGTGGAGTCTGTCCATCACTGGCTCCTGACAGAGGGGAGCAGCGGATGGTGATCTGAGCCCTTTTGCACCCGCCCTTTGCTGCCAGGGTTCAAAAGCACTCAGGGCACAGCCCCGCCCCTTCTCCCCCGCAGTGGCCCATGCCACCTGCAGGGGGACAGCAGGAGTCCTCCTGCCCCCGAGCAGGGGGAGGAGTGCTCGCCCCCAGTGGTCAGATGGAGCGAGATGGCCTTGTTCTTCATCCCACTGGTTCTCTCCTCAGGTCTTGTGTCCATGCAGTAAGTATGCCGTGCAGGGTATGGTACCAACAGTTCCAGCTGTGAAGCGTTGGGTCAATGGCCTCCTCCAAGGTTGTTTTATAAACCACCCTCTAGGTGATCTGTGCTAAGATCCGGGGTGTCAGCACCTCATGGAAGTTTGGGGAACACTGGGCTACAGGCTTGGCTACCCCTTTAATCTCTGGCCTTGTTAAGGAGGCTTCTTCTGCCTACATTTCCAACAGAGGGGGACAAACCATGTTTTCATCAGGGATGAGGGTATTCCGGCCTCAAAAATACATAAATGCAGAGTCCTTGAACTCCACCAGCTTTGAGCCACTGCAGATGAGTCTCACCAGGGACAGCTTCGTAACCCAGTGGCTGCTGGTATGTGAGGAGGTCTTCCAGGAAAAGCGTGGAGTCCTGAATCCTGGACTTATTTCCTGTGTGAATTCTTAGCCACCTGAAGTTGGTTGGAGTGGTGATGTTCTCAGGGTGGGGGTCAAAGGCTTGAGTGATGTGTCCCCAACCCTGCACAGGGAACTCAGAATAAAGATCATGTCGAAGTATAAGGCATGAGGTAGTGTCAGCCTTCTCAGTATTCTCTGGAGCGCCCTTTCAGAGGTCCTTCTGAAATATTAAATTTCCCTACATGTGCATCTGCCTTGCTTGGTGCCCATGCTTCTGTCCACTGGGTCACCCGGCACCCACCGGATGGCAGAGGACAGTGACCAGGGTTGGCTTTTGTTCTGTTGGCAAAGGAGAATAAAGACTCTCATTCATTCATTTCTTCCCCAATTTAAGGTGTTTTCTCAAAGATCTCTTTTTTAAAAATTGAGGGAAGTGTTGAGGAGGAAGAGGAGAGAGAGAGGGAGAAGATGAGGGCAAGAAAGAGCAGTGCCTCTCAGGATGGCTGCGGCTTCCTCTCGGTGAAGAGCTTCCCTGTTCCCGGCTTGCTATTGAAAAACAGACACAACCCCTTTAGATTTTTCCAGTCCCGCCCAAAGGCCTTTGTCAATGCCAGCTTCACCCACACAACATAGTGCTGCCAGGGTCAGTTGACAGATCCAGGAGGTCACCCACCTTGCTTTTTCTTAGCTTGGATTCCAGCCCTTTGTAGCCCTAGAGAGGCTGCAAGTCCCTCCCCGCTCGTGTGACTGGTAAGTACTGTGGACTCCCGTTACCTGGGAAAGTGTGGGATTGGGCCTTAGAAGAGGCCAGCTCCAAGTAGGAGAAGCAAAGTATTTTCCATGCAGCCTGCAGTCCCTACAGTGGAACTTAGCAGGCACTGTTGCTGGTGGGTAGGACACCTCTTGGTTGTTCCCAGTGGAGCCAGTCACATTAGCTGAGCACCAAGACTAACTAGTGAATGGAAGGAGCCTGCCCCTCCCAGGGCCAGGAGCCACTCTGACCCCCTGATTTTCTGCCCAGGTGGACGTGCACCCAGAGCAGCATCAGCCCCCAGTACAATATCTGCGAGCAGATGGTTCAGATCCGCGATGACCACATCCGCTTCATCTCGGAACTCGCTCGCTACAGCAACAGTGAGGTGAGCTTGCTCTGGCTGGTGGGATGGAGGCCCATGCGGGACTAGGGTGAGAAGGGATGAGGACCTCCAGAAAAGAAATGATCCTAGGGATCCTGGGGAGTGGATGAACGAGAGAATACATTTGGATGCAGGAGGGCAGAATGGCCAAGAGCCAGAGCTGGGATTGATTCTGGTTCTGCTTCTGACCTTCACAAGTTATTCAGCATCCCTGAGCCTCAGTTTCCTCATCTGCAAAATGGAGCTAATAGTATCTGGAAAAGTTCATTGAGAGGATTAAACAATATGATGTATGGAAAATGCATTGCACCTAGCAGGTAGTAACAGCCCAGTAATTATTAGTCTGTACATGATCTAAACATCTCCACCGTGGGTGGCAAGAGAAACAAAGTTCTGGACAATCATGCTCATAACACCATCTAAATATTTTAAAACAATTATAAAAATCATTGTAATAAGCCAGAAAATACAATTAGGAACAGAAGAAGGTCATAAAAATCTCTTGTGATCTTTCTAATTACATTTTTACTGGCACTGGATTTTCCTGTCCTTTTTTAAATAGGGAAACACAATTAGTGCACAAGCCTCAGAAAAAATACAGATAGACAAAAGAAGGGAAAAACAGTCATGTAAATGCTACCATCAAGAACCCACTGTTATTAACATTTGGAGGTATATATATATTATCCTTTGTGGCTTCCCTGATGGTTCAATTCCTGGGTCGGGAAGATCCGCTGGAGAAGGGATAGGCTACCCACTCCAGTGTTCTTAGGCTTCCCTTGTGGCTCAGCTGGTAAAGAATCTGCCCACAATGTAGGAGACCTGGGTTCAATCCCTGGATTGGGAAGATCCCCTGGAGAAGGGAAGGGCTACGCACTCCAGTATTCTGGCCTAGAGATAGTCCATGAGGTCAAAAGAGTTGTACACAATTGAGAAACTTTCACTTTCATATATCCTTCTATATTTCTTTCTATGAAGACCTTGTGATGAATATATATGTTGGTTTAATAAATACAGGTCTGATTTCAATCCCTGTTTTACCTTTTGAAGCTCCAGGATGACTTTGCACTACTCCATTTATGCTCACTGCCTCCACCATGTGGCTAGTAGCTGTAATTACTCTTTCCAAAACCCAAAGTAGGGAAATGCCTGATCTAAAGGGGGCAACACATCTGAAATGAGAGCAAATGCAAGCAGTATGGTCATTAGATGAGTGGCCCACATTCTTAGCAGGGCTCCTGGTGGACATGGACCAGGGTCAAGCCCAAACCTTTGGCTTTCTTAACTGTATATGCCAGTGAATTGAACATAAGCTAAGCTATGGGAATAATTTAAGTGCTAGGGACACCATTCAATTCTTGTCCAGTTTTGGTGTGATCTAATGGCAATCCACTCCAGTATTCTTGCCTGGAGAATCCCATGGATGGAGGAACCTGGTAGGCTACCAGTCCACGGGTCGCAAAGAGTCGGACACGACTGAGCAACTTCACTTTCACTTTCTTTCTTTCAAGAATGAGTCTGGCTCAAAGGTATTTTTAAAATTATACACATTATACGTGTATATATACAGATCATTCTCGATATTCACAACAGTTATATTCTATAAAGTGGCCATCAACACTGAATCAGCAAATAATCGCTCCTCCAGAAAATACAGGGTTAGGTTTCTGTGAGCCTCTGATCACAGTGTTTCTGTCAGCTGATTTTTAATATATAACCTTGTTTTACATGTGTTTCTGTTTAAAGTCACCTTATGTAATATATATTGTTGATTTGTTAACATTAAATCATACCCAACAGCACTATAATTCATGCCTGAACAAAGTTTATCTAAAACACCTATTTTCAGGACTTCCCTGGTGGTACAGTGGCTAAGGCTCCACACTCTCAATGCCTGAGTTCAGTCCCTGATCAGGGAACTAGATCCCACGTACCACAACTAAGACTTTGCATGTCACACCCAAGACCTGGTGAAGCCAAGCAAATAAATAAGTATTTAAAAAATAAAATACATATTTTCTCCATAAAGCGCATCACAGCCTCCTTTTTTACAGAGGCATAGACAGAGAGCCAGCACTGTGTTTAGGGGCCATTTTAAATAGTGAAATCACCAGTAAAAAGTATAAGAAAGTGGAAAATGAGGCATTAAGTAGATCAGGAAGGAGACACTTGTTTACAGTAAGAGCTGAAACAAGGGGGCAGAGAGTTGTGTTGTTCAGCCTCAGCTGGGAACATGATTCAGATGTTTTTGCCACTCTGCACACATCTGCAAATGACCATGAAAGCACTGCAAGGATTGATCTTGAGGCAGTAAATAAATTTTAGTAAGTAGGGAAATTCACAAATTCAGAACCCACAAATAATGAGGACTGGCTCAATATGTATATGTATACACACACATATATACACATGTCTGTGCATATGCACATGCATACATGCATATTATATTTTACTGTGGAACATATTACATGTTCAAATAGATGTTTGTCTTCACCAATGCTTTTCAGTTAATGAGTCATTTGTAATTGGTTGTAAAGTCAACTAAGTGAAAGAAAGTGAAGTCGCTCAGTTGTGTCCGACTCTTTGCGACCCCATGGACTGACTATAGCCTATCAGGCTCCTCTGTCCATGGGATTTTCCAGGCAAGAATACTGGAGTGGGTTGCCACTGATCTCTAATTAGCATTTTGGTATGAGACAATGGGCAATCAGAGGAGGTCTCAAGTATTAAGCACACAGTTTCTTTGTGGAAAATGTTATTTCATGTCTGTATTGAATACCTCAGTCAGTATATAGTATACACTTCCTACTGTAAATCACAGACCCAAAAGTCTGAAAAGCCACTGCTCTGCAATTGACCGGGGTCGTTGTGAGTGGGGCTCTGTCATCATAGCACCTGAGTTTGAACCCTCGGTCATTTGCAAGCCATGTGACCAACAAGGGACTTATCTGAGCTTCAGCTTATCGGTCAAGAGGTATAATAATAGCCTTTCCCTTGCAGTGTTCTTGGGGGTGGGGGGATCAGTGAAATACAATGGAAAAGTGCCAGGTTCGTTGGCAGTGAAGGTGATGGTCAGTGTTCCTCAGGTGGTGACGGGCTCCGGGCTGGACAGCCAGAAGTCAGACGAGGAGTACCGCGAGCTCTTTGACCTGGCCTTGCGGGGCCTGCAGCTCTTGTCCAAGTGGAGCGCCCACGTCATGGAGGTGGTAGGTGTCCCAGGGAAGACGGTCTGCCCCTCCCCGGCCCCCTCCACTCTGACCTGGTCTCTTGGAATTTGTCTGCCCCTGCCTCTCTCCAACACTTTTAAACAGGTTTATTGAGAGAGAATTCACATACCACACCATTCACCAATTTAAAACATAAATCCATTAATTTTTAGTGTATTTCCAGTGCTATGAAGCTGCAGTCAAATTCAGAACAACCTAACCCTCACCTGGTACAATCAGGCCCTGTTCCCTGTCTCTACAGCCTTAAACCGTCTCCTTCTGTCTCTGTAGATTTCCCTATTTTGGGGGTGTTTCCTATGAATAGAATCGTATCATACACGGTTATTTGTGTCTGGCTTCAACTGCATGTTATCAAGGTCCATCCATTGTTGCACAGATAAATACTTCATTTCCTTTCTTGACTGAGTGCTGCTCCATTGTGTGGACTCTCCCGGTTTAGTTGATCCGTTCACCCACTGATGGACACCGGGTCTCTGCTCTCTCCCCAGTACTCCTGGAAGCTGGTCCACCCCACGGACAAGTTCTGCAACAAGGACTGCCCGGGCACAGCCGAGGAGTACGAGCGAGCCACGCGCTACAACTACACCAGTGAGGAGAAGTTCGCCTTCGTCGAGGTGGGTGCGGACTCCCTGGGTCTCCTTGTCCCCCACCCGAGAGGTTGCTGCTGAGTGTCGGCCACAGGGCTTCCTGGAGGGGTGCTGGGCTGGCCGGCAGCCCTGGTCCTCGTGTGCATGCATCTGCTCGCCCCTCCGCCCACCCGAATTCATTTCTGTCCCACGTTGTTATTCAGAAATGGTAAGAAAGCCATTCTGGTCTTAAAAAATCCCAAAGAAAGTGTCACTCTGTTGGAAACAACAGAAGAGACACATGGCCAAACAAGATATGAGAAATGCCCAGACTGATGAGAGGTCAGAGAACTACAGATTGAAGCTAAGATACAGAGTGTTGATCAGTCAGGATGGTAAAGATCTAGAAGACTGGCGATGTCCATTGCTGGTTAAAGTGGGATATAGATCTTCTCAGATACTTTGAGTGGCAAGTGTGCATTTTACAGGCTTTCTCTGAGGGCAATCTGATCATCTGTATTCAGATTTTTTTTTTTCCCTCCCTTCAGACCCCTCGTATTCAGATTTTTAACATGCATATCATTTGCCCAGAAGTTCTTCTGGGGAATATATCTCAGAAATAAGCCAACTGTGCCAATCAATACATATGTACACATTTATCACCATATTGTTTATAATGGCATAATATGTGAAACAACTGAAATGTCCTACAATATGGATCAGATAAAGTAAATGAAGGTGCAGCTGTATCATTAAATATGATGCAGCCACTAAAATGGATGTAGATATGAAAAGATATACACAGAATATTAAGTTTAAAAAAAAAGGTTAAGGAGCAGCATGTAAAATGATGCCATTTCTGCTTAAATTAATATACTTTTGCACATTTGCTCAAAATGGAAGGACGTAAGTGTGTGTATTTATATATACCAAACCATTAACAGTCATTTCTGGAGACAGGATTCTGACTTCCTACCTTAGACTATATGATTTGGTTTTTTGTTTGGTTACTGAAAGATATTCTATGGGAGTGAAAGGGCACATTCATACTGGATTGTGAGTGACAGCTACTGTTTTCGTTTGTTTCAGCTTTTAGCCATAACACTGATGCATACATTCATGTACAAGTACTTGTGTTGAAATATGTTTCATTTTCTTGGATCTATACCTAGAAGCAGAATTACTGGATCATGTGGTAATTCTTTGTTTAACAATTTGAGAAAATGCCAAACTGTTTTCCAAAGCAGCTGGATCATTTTACATTTTCACCAGCAGTATGTGGGAGTTGTAATTTATATTGGGTTTGATCCCTGGATATGTAAGTCATATCCTTGTCATCACTTCCTGTCTTTTTTAAAAAATAAATTTGTACTTTGAACCAAAGAACCTGAACTTTTAAAGAATTTTTTATAATTTTATTTATATATTTATTTTTGACTGTGCTGAGTCTTCATCGGGACTTCCCTGGTAGCTCAGCTGGTTAAGAATCGCCTGCAGTGCTGAAGACCCCAGTTTGATTCCTGGGTCAGGAGGATCCCCTGGAGAAGGGACAGGCTATCCACTCCAGTATCCTGGGGCTTCCCTTGTGGCTTCATCACTGCAAGGGCTTTTCTCTAGTTGCAGCAAGTGAGGGCGATGCACTAGTTGTGGTGCACAGACTTCTCATTGCACTGGCTTCTCTTGCTGTGGAGCACGGGCCCTAGCGCAGGAGGGCTTCAGTAGCTGTGGCTCATAGCCTCAGTAGTTGCAGTTCTTAGGCTCTCAAGCACAGGCTCAATAGTTTGGGGGCACAGGCTTAGTTACTCCTCGGTATGTGGGATCTTCCCAGACCAGGGATCAAACCTGTGTCTCCTACATTGGCAGGCAGATTCTTTACAACTGAGTTACCAGGGAAGCCCCACTTATTGTCTTTTTTATTTTAGCTATCCTAATTGGTGTGAAGTCATGTCTCATTGTGGTTGTGATTTGTGTATCCCTAATAACTAATGATATTGAGCATCTTACCATGTGCTTATTAGCCATCTATATCGCTTCTTTGGAGAACTGTTTGTTCAGATTCTTTGCCCATTTTGTTTGGGTTATTTGTCTTTTTATTTTTGAGACATAGGAGTTTTCATATATTCTGTATCAGAAAAGCCTATTAATCCACCATGATTTCCAGGAAAACAGGGCCTGTTTTCCAAATTGAAACTGAATATCTGAGCCAAAATGAAAAAGAGGAAAAAAATGTATGTTGCATCTTGTTTTCCAGAAATGATATCTTGAAAATTATATCAATATTCAAGCATCCAAAAAAAATAGTTTTTATATATTCTGGATACAAGCCCCTTATCAGACATATAATTTGAAAAAAAATTTTCCTCAATTCCATGGATTGTCTTTTTACTTTCTAGTTGGAATCCTTTGAAGTACAAAAGTTTTTTATTTTGATGAAGTTCAATTTATTTTTCCTTTTGTCACTTACGCTTTTGGTGTCAGATTTAAGAAACCATTGCCTAATCCAAGATCTCAAAGATTTACTTCTATTTTTCTTCTGAGATTTTTATAGGTTCAATTCTTACATTTAGGTCTCTGATTTATTCTGAGTTAATTTCTGTATATTGTGTGAGTAGGGGTCCAAGTTCATTCTTTGCATGTGGATGTCCAGTTGTCCAAGCACCAGTTGCTGGAAAGAGTATTCTTTCTCCATTGGATTGTCTTGGTGCCCTTGTCAAAAGTCAATTGACTATAAATGTACGGGATTATTTCTGGGCTTTCAGTTCTCTTCCATTTATATATATGCCAATTGCTCAGTCATGTGTGACTCTTTTGTGACCCCTGTGGACTGTAGCCTGCCAGGCTCCTCTGTCCATGGGACTCTTTGGGCAAGAGTACTGGAGTGGGTTGCCATTCCTTCTCCTGGGAATCTTCCCGATCCAGGGATTGAACCCAGGTCTCCTTGCAGACAGATTCTTTATCATCTGAGTGATCAGAAAAACCCATATATGCCAATACCACACCATTTTGATTAGTATAGCTTTGTAATAAGTTTTGAAATCAAGAATTGTGAGTCAAACTTTATTCTTATTTTTTTCCTCTGTAGAACTTTATGGTCTCATCTCTTTATCACTATTTTTCTAAAGTTTCACTGTGAGGCATCGTGATGAGGGCCTTTTGTATTGTTTGGGACAGTGGCCTGTTTAGAGCCATTGCTGTATGGAAATACATGTTCTGTAGATCTGGGAGATTTTCTTGAATTTTAATTTTGGTAATTTCTCCTCTGTTTTCTCTGTCCTGTCTTTCTGGGTTTTCTACCTGGCAGATGTTGGACACCCAGGATTTAGTATCTAGTTTCCCTATATTTTCTCTCTTATTGCACATCACTTATTTTTGTTCTGCTTTATAGGATAGTTCCTTAAATTCAGTTTTCAACTCTGTTAGTACTTTTTTTTTTATTTATTTTTTTTTCCATTTATTTTATTAGTTGGAGGCTAATTACTTTACATCATTGCAGTGGTTTTTGTCATACATTGAAATGAATTAGCCATGGATTTACATGTATTCCCCATCCCATTCCCCCCTCCCACCTCCCTCTCCACCCGATCCCTCTGGGTCTTCCCAGTGCGCCAGGCCCGAGCACTTGTCTCATGCACCCAACCTGGGCTGGTGATCTGTTTCACCCTAGATAATATACATGTTTCGATGCTGTTCTCTTGAAGCATCCCACCCTCGCCTTCTCCCAGATTCCACAAGTCTGTTCTATACATCTGAGTCTCTTTTTCTGTTTTGCATATAGGGTTATCATTACCATCTTTCTAAATTCCATATATATGTGTTAGTATTCTGTAATGGTCTTTATCTTTCTGGGATGAGGAAGCTGTGGGACATATACACCATGGAATATTACTCAGCCATTAAAAAGAATTCATTTGAATCAGTTCTAATGAGATGGATGAAACTGGAGCCCATTATACAGAGCGAAGTAAGCCAGAAAGATAAAGACCATTACAGTATACTAACACATATATATGTTAGTACTTTTTATTTTGCCTATATTTTTAATGTTCAAAAGCTCCATCTTGATGTGTGAATGTTTCTTTTTTTTTTTAATTGTATCCTGCTCTTGTGTCCTGAATGTGCTATCACTATGAGGAGATCATTGTTTTTTTAATCAGCTTTATTGAGATATAATTACATTCAATAAACTGCATCCATTTAAAGTGTATAATTCAAAAAGTTTTGACAGTTGTTCACACACCTGTGAAACCCCAAACACAAGATACAGACTATTTCAGCCTCACTTTGAGACTTTTTATACCATATGCAATCCATCCTTCTCTCTGTCCTTGGCCCTAGTCATATTTTTTGTTATCATAGATTTGTTTGCATTTTCTAGAATTTTATATAACTGGAATTATACAGAATGTATTTTGTGTGTATGGCTTTTTTTTACTCAGTGTAATAATTTTGAGATTCATTCACATTGTTTTGTGTATCAGTAGTTTGTGCCTTTTCATTGCTGAGTATTTTTCCATTGTGTGGCTATTCTATAATTTTTGTATCTATTCAACTATTGATAAACATTGGACCATTTTCAGCTTTGGGTCAATGTAACTAAAATTGCTTTAAATATTTGAGTGTAAGTCTTTGTTTGGACACAGGTTTTCACTTCTCTTGAAATGGTCATATTGGAGGTATATGTTTAACTTTTTAAGAAACTGCTGAACAGTGTCCTGAAGCAAGTATACCATTTTATATAAAATTTATATAAAATGCAAATATTTTTTCTAATTGGTGACTTTGAATTTTCATTTTCTTAGGGTTGCCTTTTAAAGAGCAACTGTCTTTAATTTTAACAAAACCCAACTTACCTATCATTCCATGGTTTGTAATTTTTTGTGTTCCAGCTAAGAAATCTCTGCCTAGCCCAGAGTTGCAAAGATTTTCCCTTGGGTCTAACAGATCTGCATACTCTTCTGTGTTTGAAATTATTCTGAAACATCTTCATTATCCTGTCCTTCCTTTGTCTCTATTCTCTAGTTTTATTGCCAGTCGGAAGCCTAGATTCTTTTATGACCTCACAGTCTTTTAGAGCTTCTCTCTCATTATTTCTGCACTATAAAGGTTCTCTTCAGCAAAACCACTGCTGTTGGTTCTAGTGTAACTCCTTCCCTTCTGAGCTCTGTTCTCACCATTTCTCCTGCCGCAAATATCCTGTTTCTTCCTTTACACTTTAAAAGAAGATAAAGTCTTAGCATCAAAGCACATTCATTCATGTATTCATTACGTTTTCAACAGAACTCGCTTAAGGGCCACTAGGGACCCAAGCCCTGGGATGGGGCTTACACAGCCTGTGGAGCCTCACCCCTGCAGTGCTTAGTCTGGCGCAGAGGGAGGAAATCGAATACATCAGGATGGGTGTGGTGAGTGTGGCAGTTGTCAGGAGGCGCATTTGGCAAGGCTTTCCCCTTCTGAATTCTGAGCCAATCTAGAAGTTAGCACTGAGGCTGATGGGGGCCGAATGCTCAGGTTTGGTAAAGCTAGACTAGAGAACGTGGCTTTACTCAAGGCCACACCGAGCTTCCTGTTCCTCCCCCATTCTATGAAACTTCCCACTGAGAAACAGGCAGAGCAGCTGCATAAACATCCCTTCCTTTGGCTGGAACGGGGATGATTGTTGCAAGGACAGGACAGGCACCCAGAGGGGAGGACATACCCCACAGGCAGACAGATCCCAAGTGAGTGGCAAGGTCACAGTGACGATGTACACATTACAGTCACCTGGCTCTCCACCTCTGCAGACAGATCAGTGAGCTAAGGGGCTAGTGAGGAGGCATCTGGAAGGGTAGAGTACTTTGCCTCCAAGATTTCTACAGGAATCCTACTTTATGGATTCAAGCTGCAACTGGCCAAATTATTTCAAAAGCAAAGATTGTGGAAATTCCGTAGAAAATTTTATGGTTTAAAAAAAAAGTTATATTTGTTACTGTCTGTGGATACGTGGTACATGGAGAGGCCTCTAAAAGTCAGAGTGCTGCTCAAAACATGGTACATGGACTGGCTGCCGATTGTCACTAGTCAGCAGCGAGACCAGGAGCCGGTGCCAGGATAAAAATTCGCCGATGGTGAAGCACAGGCCATGTGGCTGACATCTTGGCTTTGTAGCAGGACTTTCTTGAGAGGGGAGCACAGTGCTGACTTCTTTTCTGGTACACATTTCCACCCAGCCGTGAGCTGGCACTCTCAGCATTGCTGGTGGGCCTCATGCTTCTGGAAGTCTCTGCCAGCACCCTCCCTGAGACATGCCGAGGGTACTGGGTGGACGGGTGTCCTGAGGCCAGTGAGCTCACCTTGATCTGTGCCTGGCCAGGTGATCGCCATGATCAAAGGCCTTCAGGTGCTCATGGGCAGGATGGAGAGCGTCTTCAACCAGGCCATCAGGAACACCATCTACGCAGCCCTGCAGGACTTTGCCCAGGTGACCCTGCGCGAGCCCCTCAGGCAGGCAGTACGGAAGAAGAAGAATGTCCTCATCAGGTGGGTCTTCAGATGGCCTTTTTTAGGGCCATGTCCAAAATCAGGGGTGCTGGGTGCAGGCCACAGAGGATGTTCCTGGATCAGTCAGCTTCCAGGGAAGTATCTGAACACACAGACCCTTCCAATGAGTTCCAGCAAGTTCTAAGAGGCTCTTTTAGGAGATTGGACATTTGGGATAATTTATGTCCCCATCTCTAAGTTTGAAGCCCATATCCACACTGTATAGCTGTGTGAACTTAGTTACTTACCTTCTCTGAACCTCTGTTTCTTTCATTTGTAAAACATGGGTAAGAACGATACCTACTCAATAGGCTTTTGGGATAATGCAGTGAGAGAATTCACGTATAAACCTAAGCACTCCACAGCATGGAGCGAGTATGCAACACATAGAAGCTATTATTAAAGTTTTAAATATGCCGAGATTGAAATAGGACTAATGAAACTGTTCTATAAGCAAAAAGAAGAATAGCCATCCTGCTTCACTCAGCTTCTCTCCCACTGTATGGGCTCTGAGTTGAGTTCTCAGACAGCTGGTGGGCATCAGGATCGCTGGGGCACTTGTGAAATACAGACTTCTGGACTGCACCTCGGATCGGTGAAGCCAGCATCCCTGGGGGAGGGGCCCTGGCGTGAGCATGGTTCACAGGCATGTCAGGAGCTCTAAGGCACGTGATCCTGGACACTGTGGACTCTGGATCCAAGCTTGCAGCACCTCCTTCTGATGTTCTGAATCCTGGTCCTTCCTTCCCCAGTGTTCTACAGGCGATTCGGAAAACCATCTGTGACTGGGAGGGGGGCCGTGAGCCCCCCAATGACCCGTGCTTGAAAGGGGAGAAGGACCCCAAGGGTGGATTTGACATCAAGGTGCCGCGGCGAGCCGTGGGTCCCTCCAGCACACAGGTAAGCGGCTCCAGGCACAGGCCAGTCTGCTGACTCAAAGGCCAGCCAGGCTACGGTAGGTCATCCTGGCTGGACCGTGGGGCAGTGGGGTCGGGAGTCCTCAGGCAAGAGGGGCAGGGCCAAGCAGCTGTTCTCGTCTCTTTCTGTGTTGTTTTGATGTAAGAGGGAGGACCACTAGCATAAGATTCAGGAGACCTGGGTTCTAGTCCTACGTACCTGTGTGACCTCGGGCACGTTATACTATCTCTTTGTGCCTCAGTTGTCTAATCTGGCAAAAGGGGGTAATACCCAAACTGGCTCTCCTAGCCCAGTGAAGTACAGGTTCCAAAGTATAGAGGTGTTTAACGTGGAACCTGTATGCATCTCTCTTGTCCCTTTTTAATGAATCCTGACCTCCCCTCTTCCTTCCCTTGTTAGTGACATCCTAGCTTAGAAATTCCCAAATTTCTGCCTCTGACTTGCTGTGTGTTCTTGGGCAAGTGCCTTGACCTCTCTGAGCTCTGATTATCTTCTCTGTTAAATGAAAACTTTGGATAAGATCATGTTACTGACTAAACATCCCTTTTGCTATTCTCTGAACACACCCCAAATCACAAATTGAAAGTCTTTGACTCCTTAGAGAAAGTCTAATGATCAGAGATACTCAGAGTTGCTAACCAGAGCTTTTTGAACAAGAGGTTGTCTGTAGCTTATCCAAAGTAGTTGTAATATTATAAGGGAAAAAAAAAGTAAAGAACCTAGGCACCTTAGTTAAATCCTTGCCACCTACTTAAGGATAAATAGTTTCTGGTAGGCTTTTTGAGGTACTGAGAAAAGGCTAATGGACCCATTACAGCTTTTAAAAGTCTTACAGGGCCCACAAGCCCCAGGCTGGGAGCTCTGGCTTCACATAACCCTTATGTCTTATCCCTGAAGTCCTGAGTCCTTGAATCACCTGAGATGAGCCATCTAAGGCTCACCCTGACCCTTTTCACTGTGTGTGTGTCTGTGTCTGGGTACGGGGATGGGGCAGGGAGGTGGGACCAGGGTGAGCTGGGATCACAGTGCTGTCATTGCAGCTTCCCTCAGCCAGCAGGCCCCTTGCACTTATCCTGCCTGCTTGAGAGACGTGAAACTTCTCAAGGAAGCTTCTGCAAACAGTTCTGTGTATATGTCAGGGTCCAGAGACCTTTCCAGTCCAGAACGGCCTGGAGGGGCTGAGCAGGGCTTCTGGGTGCTTCTTCTGGGCAGGGCAAAAGAGAGAATGGAAAAGTAGCAGAGAGGGGCCAAGAGGCAGAGAATGAGAGGGCAATGGGGGACAGGGAGGGAGAAAGGAGTGCTTGTGTAATGTGAGACGGAGTGTCACCAACAGGCCCCTACCAATGCTCCCAGGCTCTGGTAGGGTGGCGAGGACACACTTGATGGACTCCTGGATGCTCTGCTTGGAATAGCCTTTAGAAACACACTAATCCCAAACTAGTTGCTCCCCCCATTTTGCAGATGGGGAAACTGAGGTCCAGAGAGGGAACGTGACTTGTCCAAGTCACAAGGTGAGTCTAGGTGGAGGTGGGACGAGAACCAGGTCTCCTGACTCCCACCCCGGGGCTCTGTCAGGGCCCTGGGAGCACAGTAGATGTGGCATCTAGCAGAGCTGGGAGGTGACTGTTCCGGTGAATTAAATGCTCTGCTTAATAAAAGTAGGCGGGAAAAGTGTTTCCCCCTCTTGGATTTCAGATAGTTAGAATCCGATACAAATCGGTCAGCATCTGCACAGACCAGATGAAAGAATCTTTTCTTGGAGGACTCCAAAGGCCATCGTGAGAACAGGGCCTCTCGAGTCTTAGGGACGGTCAGCCGTGCCCACCGACAGGGTTGCAGAGGGTGGACTATCTGATGACCCGCAGCTCCATGGTTCCTTTACCACAAAGGCGGGTGCTGTGCCCGGGGTGGTGTGCCGCTCCTCTCTGTGGCCACGCTGCCCAGCCCAGCCCAGGCCAGGCGCTCGGTGGGTGAGGTGCTAGAGAAGACCAGAGGATGGACGTGGTGGCAGAGGGAGGTTGGAGTGTCTCAGAGGTGGTCGGCAGGTGGCCTCTAGCAGTTGTGGCGGCTTTCCCACCGTATACAATACCTCTTGCTTTTCTCTCTCTCTCTCTCTCTCTTCTCTCTCCCTCTTCCCTGTCTCTCCTGCCCTCCCATTCCCTCCTCCTCTCTCCCATCTATGTCTTAGGCCTGCCAGTGGTCCCCGCGGGCTTTGTTTCACCCCACTGGTGGCACACAGGGCCGAAGAGGCTGCCGATCCTTGGTATAACACCGCCTGGCTGGGTTGGTTGGGTACACTTCTCCAGGAGGCAGCAGGAATGGACTAGCCTGGCTCCTCACGGCCCCTTCCAGCCCTAAGATTCAAAGACACATGGTGTGGAATTATCTAGATTAGCCCTTGCGCCCTTTGCACTTAAGGCCCTCTATAAGCAGGAGTTAATTGTCTAGTAGACCTCCTGTAAGTACTGACCTTCACCTGCTTTCCACCCAGCACTTCGGCCGTGCCATGCTGCTGGCACCCCTGGAGGGTGCAGCGCTGCGGCCCCTCGGTATTCAGGATTGGAAACGTGAGGTGGTGGGGGGCTCGCTCTGATCCTGCCGCGTTTCACAGTTCCTCCGAATGTTAGAACTGAAAGGGACTGGTTGGAGAAAGCATCTGGTACAACCTCCTCGTGTTGGCAGATAAGAAAACTGAGGCCCAGAGTGGGACTTTGTGCCCAAGGTCACACAGCAAGCCAGTGGCAGCGCGTGGCCCTAAAGTTCCAGCTTTTGACTGTGAGTCCAGTGCTCCAACCCTGGGGCCACATGGCTGTCCAGAAGAGCAGGGAGGGACTCCAGGGTGACATGGAATGAGGTTCTCCTCTGATGCCCACGCCCTGGTCAAGCAGAGCAGGCAAGAACCTGGGCCTTGAAAGACCTGGTAACCACGGGAGGCCCCCGGCCCCAGGCAGGGCATCCTTCAGGGCTGGCCCATCTCCTTCTTGAAGGCTATACATGCTAAGTTTACTTCTCCAACCCTAAACTGGTGCTTCCTTAAGACAGTGCTTATTAAGGGCAGATATCTACAGGGAAAAAAAAAAAGACTAGAAATACAACACAAAACAACCTTTTCCCCTGGATAGAGGGCCAGCCCGTGACCTTCCCATCTTCCTTTCTTTTTCAAGCTGTACATGGTGCGGACCATGCTTGAATCACTCATCGCGGACAAAAGCGGTTCCAAGAAGACCCTGCGGAGCAGCCTGGATGGACCCATCGTCCTGGCCATCGAAGACTTCCACAAGCAGTCCTTCTTCTTCACACACCTGCTCAACATCAGCGGTGAGCATCCTGTTGGGGTGGGGAGGGGAAGGGCTCCCAGGAACCAGAGCAGCTCAGGCTGTTGGGCCAGAAGTTGCAGACATGGGATCATCAACCCAAAGGGGCACGTTTTGCCACCAAAGATAAAAGGCACACTTTCCAGCGGATTCTTAGAAAGGCCAGGCTCAGTCCAGCTCTTGTGAGTCAGTTGAATTTAGGAGATATTTGTGGCCAATTTTTTGTGAAGTCTTTAGTAAAGGGGGATCACAAACAGGTAACACACACAGATGCACGTAGGGACCAGGTCAGCTTTTTGCTTTTAAACAGCATCTCTGAACTGATTTAGTGCCTGTTGCTCCTAGCAAAGGGGGCTCCCAGGCTGCACCCCATCCCGTTTTCCCCCCTCCACCTCTCCAGTGGATGGAATGCATGTGCAGATGGGATGAGGGGAAGGGAGAGTAGCATCCAAGGGTCCCGAGAGGGTGATGTGTCTGTTGGTATCGAAAAGGGTGATCTTCTAGGTAGAGAGCAGTCTTTGCTGTTGTTCACTCAGTCATGTCCAACTCATGACAACCCCATGAACTGCAGCACGCCAGGCTTCCCTGTCCTTCACTATCTCCTGCAATTTGTTCAGATCATGTCCACTGAGTCGGTGATGCCGTCCAATCATCTCGTCCTCTGTCACCCCCTTCTCCTCCTGCCTTCAATCTTTTCCTGCATCAGGATCTTTTCCAATGAGTCCTCTCTTCGCATCAAGTGAACAAAGTATTGGGGCTTCAGCTTCAGCATCAGTCCTTCCAGTGCATATTCAGGGTTGATTTCCTTTCAGACTGACTGGTTAGATCTCCTTGCTGTCCAAGGGACTCTCAAGAGAGTAGTCTAGAAAGGGACTTTGAGGCCTCTGAGCAGTAAGGAATCCAGAATTATCACTAGCAAGGATCATGGGCCTGCAGTCCAGTCAGAAGTGGACACCTGTAGATCTACCTCGACACTTAACAACAAAGACACTCTGACACTTAGATGTCATGTTTTCAGGATGGCTTTGTACAGACGTGATGGAAACTGTAGGGGCATCTAAATCTCTCAACCATCACTGCTCCCCCAGCCTCCACACTGGTGGGTGAACAAACACTGTCTTCTATTTTTTTTTTGCCACACCTCACAGCTTACAGGATTCTAGTTCTCCAGCCAGGGATTGAACCTGTGCCCTTGGCAGTGAAAGTGCAAAATCCTAACCAGTGGACCACCAAGGAATTCCCCAAACACTGTCTTCTCAACAGATGTTAGGCTGCCCTTCAGGTCCAGGAGAGCAGGGTCTACTAATGGAGTCGTATTCTTGAGTACCTGCTCTGTACCTAGTACAATGAAAGAAGAATAAGAGGTAAAAAAATTAGAACTAGGATCTTCCAGTGCTTCTGATGTGTAACCCGGACTGTTTCCCTCATGCTTCCAGAAGCCCTGCAGCAGTGTTGCGACCTATCCCAGCTCTGGTTCAGAGAATTCTTCCTGGAGTTGACCATGGGCCGGCGAATCCAGTTCCCCATCGAGATGTCCATGCCCTGGATTCTAACGGACCATATCTTGGAAACCAAAGAACCTTCCATGATGGAGTAAGAGGCAGGGCTGGGCCAGCAAGGAGGTTCCCAGGGTGCTGGCGGAGGGCAGTTTGCTAGCCAGAGAGCCCTGTTCTTTCCAGAACTTTCCAGATGACACAGTGTGTCCCATCCAGTGTCAGGTCACCTCCACATGTGACTCAGCCTTGCAGAAAGGCTCAGACATCTCCCCTTCTTTCCAGAACTTTCCAGATGACACAGTGTGTCCCATCCAGTGTCAGGTCACCTCCACATGTGACTCAGCCTTGCAGAAAGGCTCAGACATCTCCCAGCCTGACTGCCCTTGCTGGCTTTGTCAGCCTCATCCCAACCGTGTTGGTAAAATGATCATCTCTAAAAATTGGGACGCTGATGTCCTTAATGGATGCCCCACTGCTTTTAGTCCCAGACTGATTTTTTTTAGGCCTCGCATCATGGGCTTTGATCTCTGTGGGCAGACTGTAAAATAAGTCATTTCCTAAGTAGAGCCTGGAAACATCATAGCATGCTGAAAGTGCCTCTTTTTCCCAACGCTGAATCTGTTCACCCAACTGTGCATGTTTCCTGAGCACATTTAAGTCTGCCTGCCTTAAGAGAGACCATTAGTGAGCTACTGGCCGTTGTTTTTCCCTCCTCAGGTATGTCCTCTATCCTTTGGATCTGTACAACGACAGCGCCTACTATGCTCTGACCAAGTTTAAAAAACAGTTCCTGTATGATGAGATCGAAGCCGAGGCAAGTGACTGCTTTTCCTTTTGTTCCCACAATCATGCTCTGAGAGTCTGGACTTTTCAGATCTCTAACCACGGGCCCAGAGTGGAGTGTCTGTCTGTTTGAGCTGTGATAACGAAATACCACAGACTGTGGGGCTTAAAAATTACAGAAATGTATTTCTCACAGTTCAGGAGGCTAGAAGTCTTAGGTCAGGGTAGCAGCAGAGTCAGGGAAGGCCCTCTTCTGGGTCCCAGACTTCTCACTGTGTCCTCACGGGGTGGCCAAGGCCAGGCACTCTCTGGGGTCTCTTTTGTAAGAGCACTGATGCCATTCACAAAGGTTCCATCCTGATGACCTCACCACTCCTAATTCCATCACACTTGGGGGTTAAGATTTTAGCACATGAATTTAGGGGGACACAAACATTCAGACCATAGTATGGGATATCAGTGACTTGCTTTGGCGACTGATCTTTATACATTGTGATAATCAAAGGGGACCTAGTGGAAGGGGGGGATGGTGTTTCTTTTTCAGATGTTTAGTAACGGCAAATAATAGATAGAACTACATGGGTAAAATTAATTCTCTAATAGGTCTTTTACAGTTGGATTAATTGGTGATAACAACAACAGGAATACTACCAAGAATTCCCTGGTGGTCCAGTGGTTAAGACTATGTTCTTCCACTGTAGGGGGCATGGGTTTGATTCCTGGTCACAAAACTAAGATCCTACATGCCATGTGGCACAGCCAAAAAAAAAAGAAAAACAGTAATACTACCTATTGATTATTATATTTATACCGTTTGCCAGGTACAAAGCACTTTGTGGACATTTTAGATAATCTTTACAATGATTTAAATAAATATATACTACTATCTAGTTTACAGTGTTCAAGTATCATTGCCCCAATATCACACAGTTTACAGAGTTTCATTCTAGTACTGCTGGGACTGAAATAGCCATCTTCTCATGTGTGAAGCTGTTGAATTGTCATTTAATGGCTTTATTTTTGCAATGGTCAGCAAAGGCTAGGATACACTGCAGTAACAAACAATCACAAATTCTTAGTAGTTTGAGACCAAAGTTTCATTTCTCTTTTATGGGTTGACTAGGAGCTCTGTTCCATGTAGTCTTTAATCTGGAACCCATCTGGGATATTCAGTAGTTGCCATAGCAGGGAGATGTGTCAGGGTGAATTTATACTCTGATACTTAAAGCTTCCAGCTGGAAGTGACACATGTCATTGGTCAAAGCAAGTCACTTGGTTATGCTTGCTTTCAAAGAGGAGTGAAAAAGCGCAGTCCTACCACAGGCCAGCAAGGAGCAGAAACTGGAGATCAACAGCACTAAGGACTACAAAATATCTCAGTTTTGTCATCTGGAAATTGGAATGAGAGTCTCCACTCAAGTATGTGAAGTTATATAAACATATAATTAGACCAATTATCATTATAAGATTTTCAAATATAAGGTACAAATATAAGATATTCTTATTTATAAAGGACAGATGTGAATATTTTAGGATAAGCATTACTACCAAGTTAGTTTGAAAGTTTATATATTTCAAAGAAAAGCTAGTAGAGATGCTGCTTTCTTTCTAAATCTTTCAATTGCTCTGGGAGTTGAGAACCTTGGGGGAGCCCAATGCAACTCTGTCCTCTTCTGAGCAGTATGCGAACTTGGGAAGAAAGGATCCAGCAGACAAGTTAATTGGTTGCCTCTCAACTTTAACAAGTCCATTTTCTGATAAGATTTTAGTTAATCATGTTCTCTGACAGGTTGAAAACAAAAAATCTAGGAGTATCCTATAGACAAGTGACGGTCAAAAAATAAATGGAAAGAAAGCATACAGACCAGACCAGAATAACATAGGCGGCCATGAAGCAGAAGTGTAAATTGTCCCCCTGTCTTTTCCCATTCTCAGACTCTGTTTTGAACCTGGAAAGGCCTCTGTGTCGTTCCCCAAGCTCTGTCTCCCACCCCTGCCCTCAAACAGTGGCCGTTTGGTCAACCCTGGGCCCTAGGGGTATATATATCTGCAGTGCAATCCACCCCCAGGGGTGAACCCAGGGCAAAGAGCACATAGGCCCTAGCAGGGGCTTGGGCTATTTGGGCAAGAATATTCAAAGCTGGTTCTAGAAGGGGAGCAGGAGTTGGGCACCCCCACCTGGACCCTATGGATTCTTTGCCTGTAGGAGGCCCCCCTGGGCACCCTTGAAGCTCAAAGTCCAGGGCAGAGGGCTTGGTTACTCGCATACATTGTTTTTATGTTCAAAATAGTATTTATGGTATAAAATAAAAGATATGAAAGCTCTTTGGATAAAGAGCCTCATGGAGCTGGGAGTTTGGTGCTAAAAGGATGGAAGATTAATCACCTAAATACAGTCTGTTGCTACAAAGTTATCCCATTATCACCCTGCTACTACCACAGCCCATCTCTTTAACATCCCACCTTTGGCCATTCCCTGCTCTTGCCCTCATTGGAGAATTTGGTTTCTATCCCCTGTGACTAGGTTGAACTTTCTTCTCACCTGAGCATCACATTCTGGCACCCACACGATAAAACACTGAAAAGGCAAGATGGTCTCTTGCTCACCAAAGATTTTTAAGCAAACTTTTTAAAAAGGAGGTTTTTAAATTTTTAACGACCATCGACTTCTTCCTTTGCAAAGCAAGGTAAAATTAGAATGAAAGGAAAAGAAAAGAAAGTCTATTAGGAGATGGGGAGACTGATATGTGTAATTACAGGATGTGGGCAGGTACCTTGTAACAGCCACGAGGTGGCCAGTGGGGAGGGCAATTCTTCAACAGCTTTTTGAATCTTGCCTTCTCTGTGCCTGGTTGAGGACCTTGAGAGCAAGGGACCACACTTCCCAAACGCACTCGGCCACAGAATCTTTTTTTTTTCTTTCCTTCAAAGCATCGTTTTCCTTCTCACACTTTCAGGCAGTCCTACCCCACTGCCCTCTTCAGTTGCTGCAGTTTCTCTAATAAAGTGGGATAGACACCAGTGACATTTCCTGCTTTCTTCACCAGGTGAACCTGTGTTTTGATCAGTTTGTCTACAAGCTGGCGGACCAGATATTTGCCTACTACAAAGCCATGGCCGGCAGGTATGAGAGCTCAGCACTATGGCACCAAACCTTCTTAAGATTGCCACCTGGAAGGCAAAATCCTGTGTTACAAAACCTCCCTTCTGCTTTCGCACCTAAGGAAATCTGAATGATTCCATTAGCCTGGATTGGGTGCTAGCAAGTAGAAGAAAGAGAAATAGGCAGATATGGGGCTAGACCTCACAGAGCTTACAGTGTAGTGAGAAAAATAGACAATAATGAAAACTATTGAATGCACAGTGACAAGGGAGATTCCTGTGAAAGAAAATTTATTGGGAATATATAACAGTTAAACCTGAACCAGTCTTTAGGGTGGGTAACTGGAAGGGCTATCCTGAGGTAACATTTGAGTTCACATCTGAAGTGAATAGGTGTTGATTGAGTTAAACTAAGTAAAGAATGGAAAACTGCAGGTAAAACAAACCACTGTGCAAAGTCCCTTTGGCAAAAGCATAATATTAATAGCATGCATACCTCGTAGGGTTATTGAAAGGTTTTTTTTTTTTCATTTATTTTTATTAGTTGGAGGCTAATTACTTTACATCATTGCAGTGTTTTTTGTCATACATTGAAATGAATTAGCCATGGATTTACATGTATTCCCCATCCTGGTCCCCCCTCCCACCTCCCTCTCCATCGATCCCTCTGGGTCTTCCCAGTGCACCAGGCCTGAGCACTTGTCTCATGCACCCAACCTGGGCTGGTGATCTGTTTCACATAATATACATGTTTTGATGCTGTTCTCTTGAAACATCCCACCCTCACCTTCTCCCAGATTCCACAAGTCTGTTCTATACATCTGAGTCTCTTTTTCTGTTTGCATATAGGGTTATCGTTTAAAATTAGTGCATGTAAATATCTCATTCACAGACCACAGAGGGGTGTGCTGTGTGGTAAAGCTGGGCAGGTAGGCAGGGCCCAGGCCCTGTGGTCTTATAGGCATTTATCCTAGGAGAAGTGGAACACCATGGGATGATTCCCAAAGTATGACAGTGACCTGGTTTGATTTTTATTTTTAGAAGTTTGATGTTTTAAAACATTAAAATGTAGGGAATGGATTGGAGTGAGCAAATATGGGGAGTGTGAAGATCAAACAGGAGACCAGGGAAGAAGTCTAGTTGTGCCAGTTCTCACAGGCTCATTGATTGGTATTGTCAGTATGGGCTGATTTACGACCCCTGAGATTTCCTGTGTTCGAGGAACCCACAATAGTACTGGTCAGCAAAAACCTCTCTCTCTCTTTCTCTCTCTTTATATATAGATACATGTACGTATCTATATATATACATATGTATGTATATATATAGAGAGAGAGATACATAGATACAGAGAGATACATAGATACATATACATATGTGTATCTATATATATATATAGGGTAGTTCTCTTTTTTATTGGAAATCCAAATGTACAAACCAGAAATTTCAAGGATTGTTACATTTTTCAACAGTTAAAGACTTGCTTCCTTTTGCTTTCAACAACTGGAGTTTCTCTGATGTATTTCAGTCAAGAGTTGGTGTGGTGATGGTTTAGTCGCTAAGTAGAGTCTGACTCTTGCGACCCCATCAACCATAGCCCGCCAGACTCTGCTGTCCATGTGATTTCCCAGGCAGGAATACTGGAGTGGGTTGCCATTTCCTTCTCCAGGGGATCTTCCCAACCCAGGAATCGAACCCACGTTTCCTGCATTGGCAGGTGGATTCTTTACTGCTGAGCCACCAGGGCTTCCCAAGAGTCGGTGTACAGCACACAAGTGTCTGTTAACACAGAGTGTGCATTAAATGAAATGAATGACTCTTAAAGATGGAAACTATAGAAAGCATATACTTAGGGTTTCAGGGAAGCATAGAGAATGCAGCCTTTCACAAAGGAATGACTTTACAAGGATCTGGATTGGATTGAATTGTATGTGGTCCTACCAGAGAGCTGGGCTTCCAGTTTCTCCAAGATAATTCCAGTTGGCTTCAAAATATGCTGGTCCATTGTCTGCATAAACAAACTCAGACTTGTCAAACCCTGAGTCCTCTATATATTTAGTTTACAAAATATCCTTATCTAAAAGAGGAATCTTGGTCTATATCCCTTCTCATAAGACCTGTGGTTTGTCAAAAATACAGGAAGTTGAGGGAGACTGTGAGAAGTTGGAAGAGTCAGAAAGTGCCAGAGGGACAGAATGATCTAGATCACTGCTGTCCATCAGAAATATAATGCAGGCACAAGTGTAATTTTAATAGTCATATTTTTAAAATTAACAATAATACATTATATAATCTATGATATCTAAAATATTACAATTTCAACATGTAATCAGTGAAAATTACTAAAGAGATAGTTTTTGTTGTTTTTTCTTAAGTCTTCAACACCTCGTGTGTATTTTATACTAATAGCGCATCTCAGCTTGGACCCACCATGTTTCAGATTCTTGGGGGCTCAGCTGGTGGGTGGCTGCTGTGTTGGACCGTGTAGATTTAGATGATGTCACTTTCCTGCTTAAAACCTTTCAGTGGCTTCAATTATGCTGAGAAAACATTTAACCTCTTTACTGTGGCTTGTATCATCCCACAAGGATCTGGCCCCTAGACTAACATTGTAAATTCATTTTTGTACTGTGCTCTCCAACACACCCCACCCCTTATCTATATCTTTCCTTTTTCTCAATGTACCAAGCTAATCATGCCTGAAAGATTCTTCCCCCAAATCTTTCCATTTTTAGCATTTAGGTCTCTGTCCAACAGGACCTCTTTAGAGAGACTTTCCATGACCTCCTAACACCAAATGATCCTGTTTTGTTATTTTCAGAGCACTTATTGCTCTGCAATCCATGACTCAGTGTGAAAGACCATAATAGAACATCTAATTCATAGGGTTGTCATGAGATTAAAAATGACTGTGCGCATGTCTATATGCATGCCTGGTGAATAGTAAATACTATGCAGGTATTTACTATTGTCTACTGAAGCGACTTAGCAGCAGCAGCAGCAACATTATTTTATTCCTCTGCTTATTTATTTATTATCAGTCTCTTTTCACTAGAACCCAAGCTCCACAAGGATGGGAACTTTGAATCCTTGGTACCTAGACTGTTTCCTGGGCTAAACTAAGCATGCACGCAATTGCTTTTATGGTAAAATAAATAAATAAATAAATAAAAGGGAAAAAGCAGCTCAACTTCTGTGTTGCCTGTCTTTAATGTAGAAATTTAATTTCACCTATTGAGCTTTTCTGGGTGAAAAAAATTTAAAGAACTTTGCTCTACAGCAGAAAAAATAATAATCTTTAAAATATATAACATAGTGCTCTATGAGGAGAACCTATGGTTTGAAATACATATGGCTGAGTGATTGAACTCCATTCACTGTCATGTTTACTGGCCTTATTTCACTTTTATCCTTTCTAGCGTCCTGTTGGATAAACGTTTTAGGGCCGAATGTAAGAATTATGGAGTCATCATTCCATACCCACCATCCAACCGCTATGAAACTCTGTTGAAACAGAGACACGTCCAGGTATGGAGACAGAGGGAATGGTGGGAGAGAGGGGCTGTGATGTTAGCCTAGAGATCAGAAATCAGGACCCCGTATCATCTGCCCTGGGCATTGCCCTGTGTGGGCTGCTGAGCATAGGGATAATCCAGCCTCAGAATCTTACCAAGAGGCATTGGGCTTCCTTCAGTTCAAGTTCTAGGCTTCTCAGCCCATCTGCTGCTCACTTCAGTTGAAGTGGGCCACCAGAGCTTTTGAATACCCATCGTGAGCTGCATATCAACTCTGAATATTCCCTGGAAGGATAGATGCTGAAGCTGAAACTCCAATACTTTGGCCACCTGATGTGAAGAGCTGACTTATTGGAAAAGCCCCTGATGCTGGGAAAGATTGAAGAGAGAAGGAGAAGGGGTTGGCAGAGGAGGAGATAGTTAGATGGCATCACCAACTCAATGGACATGAGTTTGCGCAAACCCCAGGAGATTCTGGAGGACAGAGAAGCCTGAAGTGCTTATAGTCCATGGGGGTCATGAAGAGTTGAACACGACTTAGCGGCTGAACAAAAACGTGAACTTCAGCCCACCTCCTCCAGTCGGGACTGATGTTCAGAAATGGGAAAGTCTATCCCTGACTCTCCCATTATGGTATAGAGTTAGTATCTCTTAACATTTGACCCATGATATAGAGGAAATGCTGCCAGGAGCTCAGAAACATATCCCTGCTTAACAATGTTCATGGGAGCCAAGCAGACAAAATAAGAGATGTTTTCAGTCCAGTTCAGTTCAGTTCAGTCGCTCAGTCGTGTCCGACTCTTTGCGACCCCATGAATGGCAGCACACTAGGCCTCACTGTCCATCACCAACTCCCGGAGTTTACTCAAACTCATGCCCATCGAGTCGGTGATGCCATCCAGCCATCTCATCCTCTGTCATCCCCTGCTCCTCCTGCCCCCTATCCTTCCCAGCATCAGGGTCTTTTCCAATGAGTCAGCTCTTTGCATGAGGTGTCCAAAGTACTGGAGTTTCAGCTTCAGCATCAGTCCCTCCAGTGAACATCCAGGACTGATCTCCTCTAGGATGGACTGGTTGGATCTCCCTGCAGTCCAAGGGACTCTCTGACCAACCTAGATAGCATATTAAAAAGCAGAGACATTACTTTGCCAACAAAGAGATGTTTTAGCAGATCTTAAATCCTACTCCTAAGCCCTGTCAGTCACAGGCAGTGAAATGACCTTCATGCTGTGATTTCTGTGTGCTTATCCTGTGGTTCACATGTTCCTGGAGAAGACTTGGGCAAAGGGGAGCTGAGAAAATGCCCTGGATAGAGAGGAGAGGAATTACCCTGAAAAACCTGGAAAGTCCCACTGCTCTGAGAAATCCATGCTGGAAGAATCATAAGAGGAAAAAGCATTTGCCCATCTTCCATGAGAGCTTCTCCTTCGGCCTCTCAGAAGATTCCATTACCAGTGCAGCTAGAATTAGCCACAGGATGTTAATCCTGAGGGCTTTGTGTGTGCAGAAGATGGCTATAAGGAGCCTTAGTCAATTAGTAGAAAATCTCTCCCAAAAGGGAAGCAGAAAAAAATAAAATAGTTGAGAATAATCCTTAGGCACATAGCAAAGTGCAGTGCACGCAGCAGGTACTCAATAAATGTTTATTGCTATCTACATAGCATCTGTAGTCATGCCCACATGAAGCCCAGTGGAAATTAGCCTGCGCTATATTTTCCATCCTGTAATCAGCCCTTCTCCTCGTGCTTTTAAATTTATCCTCATAAAGGTACACAGTAGGCCCTTGCTTGGGTCAGGGGGATGGGACCTCCCTGGTGTCTCTGAACTACACGATAGGATGGATGCAAGAAGAACCTCAGGGTGAGATTCAGGATGTCAGCATTGCAAGGGCTGCTAGAGCTTATCACAAGCCTCTTCCTGTAATCTGAATGCACCATATTTTTCCTCAACTTTTTATATTTTAAACCTACAGGATAGTTGAAACAATAAGACAGTGAACACACATATATACTTTATAGCCAGATTCATGATTATTCATGCTTAATCATGTTTGCTTCACTTTATTTTTCTCATGTATATATTATTTCTCATAAATACAGTAAATGTACTTTATTTATAGAATATATAATTTATAAAAACATATTTTTATGTAAGTAATATATTAAAATATATATTTTAATATACATACTTTTTTCTTAGCCATTTGAGAGTAAGTTGCAAACATCATAACGCTACCCCTGATACCTCAGCTCATATCTCCTAAGAACAAGGATATCCTCTTATCATCCAAATAATACTATCATACTCAGGAAATTTAACAATACTGTTTTCTGCATAGAGTCCCTATGTGTCCTGGTCATGTTCTTTATATTTTTAGGACAATTTACTAAATCAGTGCATTGCATCTAGTTGTCATGTGCCTGTGTAAAATTTAAGTAACTTTTTCTCTCTTCCATGCAGCTGTTGGGTAGATCCATTGACTTGAACAGACTCATTACCCAGCGCATCTCTGCTGCCATGTATAAATCCTTGGACCAGGCCATCAGCCGCTTTGAGAGTGAGGACCTGACCTCAATCGTGGTAAGAGACGGGGGCCCTTGGGAGTTCTGTTGTGGGACTCCTCAGACTAAGAGCCTTGTTGGGGAGTTGTTGGTAGCCTGATACTGAGCTGGTTAAAGAGAAGCAATGAGTCTCTTTCTCATCTGAATGAGCAAAGGGGAAAAAAAAAAGACTTAAAAGGAATGAGAGAAATTTTACCTTCCCGATTGCCTGGAGACAGGGAGTGAAGGGAGGTCTTGAAATCTCGAGAGATGGCCTATCCTGGGACACAGCTTCTTGTCCTTTAGGATTCTACAAATACAGCAAGCAGCTGGATGGTCCTGAGAAAGGAGGGAAAATTTCACAGTAGGTCAGCTTCATTGGTGTGCAGTAGGTTAGAGCCCAGAGAAGCTGTTGACTAGTTTAATGCTGCATTGTCACCATTTTGGAATTTATAATCGTTTTCTAATGAAAGCCCCCACCTTTTCATTTTGTGCTGGGACTTGGAAATTGTGTAGTTGTTCCTGATGCACAAGTATGGAACAGGCGTGCCCTCTTCTTTTATTAATCAGCTATTTGAACTACTCTTTGCTAATTATCTTCAAGAATTAGAATAAACTTGATTGGTCAGCCTTTAGGTGAATGAAAGGAAGGTTTCAAAGCTTCAAGAGCAGATACATAGAAGGAATGAGAGAAATAGAAAATCATCATTAGAACACCAGAATAATAATGGTCACAGGCAAGATCCAGTAATAGACACTGAAATTCGTGGGCAGAGCTTTGAGAAGAGTATTTTATGATTCCCTTTATTCGGAAGTGTCCAGAGTAGTCAAGTTTATAGAGACAGAAAATGGAGTGGTAGTTGCCAGGAAATAGGGAGTTAGTATTTGATGGGTACGGAGGCTCAGTTGAGGAAGATCCAAAAGCTCTGGAGGTGGACAGTGGTGATGGTTTCAAACTACCTGAATGTACTTAATGCCACAGAACTGTACATTTTTAAATGGTTAAAATGGTAAATTTTATGTATATCTTACCAGAATTTTTTAATTAGTCACAAATAAAATTTTTAAAAAAACTTTGAGAAGAAACAGGATAGTTGTCTAGTCTCAAACTATCTCCTTCAAGATACTTACTAATTCCAAAGGGAAGAATAATAACTTTACAGTAAGGAAACCTGGGAGGCATCCTCTTAACCAAGCCTGAAGGTCAGTATCACCAGTAAGAAAATATATTCATGTATCCCCTGAATTGGCTTCCCTGGTAGCTCAGACAGTGAAGAATCTACCTGCAATGCAGGAGACCTGGGTTTGATCCCTGGGTTGGGAAGATCCCCTGGAGGAGGGCATGGCAACCCACTCCACTATTCTTGCCTGGAGAATCCCCATGGGCGGAGGAGCCTGGCGGGCTGCAGTCCAAGGGGTCATAAAGAGTCGGGCATGACTGAGTGACTAAGCACATCACAGCACACATCCCCTGAATATGTATGCATAATGAAAAATACATAATCTCAATCTAATTGTGATTATATATCTAAATCGAATGGCATTCAAAAATGAACAATGCTTTTCAAAAGCACCCAGAACATAAAAGACAAAGAGAAAACTGAAAACTATTAGAGATTTGAAAAGACAAGGAGACATGACCACTCAGAGAAATGTGGGTTAAGACCTTCCTGGAAAAACTGGTGAAATTTGAATAAGGTCTGTCACTCAGTTCATAGAATTAGATCAATGATAGTTTCCAACTTTAGGCAATTATACTATGATTATGTAAGAGGTTAACATAGGAGAAACTAGGTCAGGAATGTGCAGGAGGTCTGCAGTTAACAGCTTTTCTGTAAGTCTAAAGTTATTTCAAAATAAAAGTTTTTTTTAAAAATGGACAAAGCAGTTTTTAAAAAAGGGTTAAGAACTAGGATTCTAGCATCAGAAAGACCGTGGGGTCCCAGTTCTGGCCTCACCACTTACTAGCTGGGTGATCTTGGGTGAGTCACTTATCTTGTATAGAAACCTGCAGTACGTGGAGGAAATATTAGCATCCACCTCCTAGACATGTTCAAGGATGAAATGAGATACTGCCTGGAAAGAGCTTTGCATAGTCCCTTCCACTTGATGAAAATATCTTATAAAGAAAGAGAGGAATGTAGAAATTTTGAGCTGCCACAACCAGGACCCGGTGCAGCCAAATAAATAAAATGAATATTTTTTAAAAAAGAAAGGAAATTTTGAGCTGCAAATGAGGCACTCTCAGGGTAGATTCTGAGCAGCATTTCCTAAGAGGACTTGACCTAGCTGCCCCAGCTCTGTCCTGGGTCACGGACTTTGAGAGACTGTGATACAGCACAAGTTCTTCTGGGAGATCTACTTTGAAGACATGTTTTTCTTTGCCAAATGTTTGCAGTGATTATGTCCAAGAGGTGGGATTTTTGCTTTTCTCTTCATTGTTTATCTCTATCTTGTAGTTTTCCAGTAATGAATGAGCATACCCTATGAAAAAACTGGCTTTAGTGTGTGGTGGGTGTCCATGGCCTCTTCCCAGTCCTTGAAAGGCACTGAATGTTCTTTTAGCTGGGAACAAAATCAAAACAAGCAGTGAAAGCCTGAGTTTATCAGGTGAGGGCTGCAGCCGCCAAGAGAGTAGCCACGTTCCCTGAAGCCCATGAAGAGGATAGCCCAGGATGCTGTCTCCTGGGAGCTCAGGAGGCCCCCCACTGCCTTGGCTGAGAACCTTCTGCCTCTTCTGAGAAACAAAGAAAGGAATGTGCTCCCCTCAGCCCTTCCCTCCACCTTACCAGCTCCGTCCTAAGATGGGGTGGGGGTAGCTTGATGCCCAGCTGGGAGGATTGTAGCAATTTCATCAGTTAGTCTCCCTCCTCCTATGCAGCTGAGCAAACAGATTCTCCAAGGGATCTGATGCCAGAGTTGAGAGCTGGCAGCCTGAAGTCTGTGTTTTGCTTAGGCTGCAGAACATATTTGAAAATTTGAGGCAACATTTAACATTTGGGAGAATTCGAATAAAACTGCAGAAACCCCGGCAATGTCAGACCTGCCTTCACATATGGCAGCAATTGCCTAGAACTGACTAGACGCCCCATCAGCTGGGCTGTGCTCTCTGGGGCTTGCCGCAGGCCTGGTGCACTTCGTTCATGGGATGACCCAGTGCCTGAGTTTGAGATCGCTTTTCTCTGGGCCCAGGCCACAGAGAAGGTTAAAGGTCAAGTGTGCTGCCACCCGGGATTTCTGGTTCCCACGGAAACGCGCTTCCCTCTTCCTCACATAAGTAGCCCCTCGGGTGTTTTGTTTCCCGTGCTGCTTCTCTGAGTTGCCCCCCAGTAAGCCGGCTTTACTCTGCAGAGCCGACCTCCTCTCTGAAGGCACATCGACCACCCTTGGGGCCTTCTAAACCTCTGTGCCTTGAGGCACTGAGCCCTGCACCCCCCACAGGCAAGTGCCCTCTTCGGACTGAAAGGCTGGAAGAAATGGCTGATGCAAAACACCATTTGTATTGCATCCCGTGGCATGGCGGAGGAAGTGGACCTGCATTTTGAGCATCCCCACGTCAGCAGTTGAGAGCTCTCTTCTTCAGGCTCAGATGTGCATTTGTGAGGCCATTGAAATCACAGAATGGAAATTGTGTCCCAGTTTCTCATCTGCAGCTGTCTTCATGGTAACAGGGCACCGCCATGTGCTACGGGTACTTAGTGATCTTAGAAATAAACTCATCCACATTCCTCGCATTTATTTATTTACTTACTTACCCATGCTAAGTGACTGGGAACAAAGATGCCATCTGGCTAGCCAGGCCCCAAAAGATGGAAGCAGACAGCTGATTCTGTATTTCTGCCCTTCATATATTTCACAGTGTACAATCACTGGAAACTTATTCTTCCACCTACCATTCCAGAACTGAAATCCAGACTTTGGCCTTTTCCAAGAGATCAGAGTCTCTGCCATCACTTACCCCTTTCCAATGCAGTAACAAACAATTGGATACCATGATATAGCCGCTCCACCTTTATCTGGCAATGGCTCTCCAATTTGCCATGGACAGCCCAGCCCAGGCTCCCTCCTGCCCCAGCTTGTCTCACTCCAGCCAGTTAAGTCTGCAAACTTTGATCTAGTATTTTGCCCCCAGTTTAGAGCCACCGAATCTGAATTTCAGAGAGATGAAGCTCCAAGATTAGAAGTGTGGTCTGGTTCCGCCACACTCTGGACCCCAACCAGAGTCAGAGGGGTCCTGTGGCTGATGAGAATAAAACTGAATCCCTGATGCAAGGCTTCCTCCTGTGACTTTAAACAGTTGGGCTCCATGTCTCAGGTCTTATAGCTGGCCCTCTGACTGCCCCACCTCCTGGCCACACTCTGGGGAACAGTCATTGCCTATGTCCTTTTAGCTTTTATGTTGTAAAGCCTGTTCAAAGGACTTTCTCAGTAATTGCTTATTTATTCCAGGCAGCTGCATCCAAGGACCAAATACACATGATTTTATTAGAAGACCTGGGAGCACATCCTAAACCCTGTTCTATATTCCCTCTATGACCTTTATTGAGTGAGTTATTTCTCCCTCTGAGCCTCAGTCTACCCCTCCTTGAAACGGACAATCATACCCATCACAAATAATGGCTTAACCACTGCAATTTAAGAGTGTCCTAGAGCATTACAGAGGGGGTACTTTCTTTCTTTGCACAAGTTTGTGCTTTGATTTTGATAGCAATGCAGCGAAGAACTAAACCCAGCCTAAAAGATTTTACCTTCTTTTTACTTCCAAGCAAATGCAGTGACCTGCTATGTCTGGATATTATCCACTCTGGTCCCATTCTCTGCCTGGAGGTGGCATTCCAGATGACCAAGGCCTATAGTTCATGCAAGTCCTTGGTCCATGGCTTGCAGCCAAACTTTTGCCAACATATTTAACCAAAACCCGTGTGACTGGGGGACGCAAGAGGAGTCGAGAGGAGGAAACATTGTGCCCCCAGCTGTTTTTTAAATTCTATAGTATATAACAGTTAAGAATGTGAGTGTCAGAGCCCAACTTCCTGGATTTGAAGCCGAGTTACTGCACTTCTTAAAGCCTAGTTTCTATGTTTGTATAAAATAAGAACAGCCATCATGCTGACCTTATAAGGGGGTTTTGAGCATTAAGTGAGTTGACACATATTAAGTGCTTGGAATACTCCTTGGCATGTATTAGGTTGAACCATAAGAAATTACTAACATTGGATGGTGTTTGACATAAGAAACTAGTAGTCTCACATGGACCAACCTGGTTTTAAGTACTTACCAGGGGTTAGCTCTTTTGCTTGCTTTCTGCAGGGTAGAGATAGAACCTCAGTTATAGATGGACAGTCACAATTTTCTTTTACTTTACTTGCGTCTCTCAGGGACAGGCTTTTTCCTTACCAGCATAGAAACTGGAAAGCAAGTAGCTGTGCTTTTCTCTCCAGGGGAGTGCAGACAAGGGATTTGCACATGATCTGTGGACCCCTTCTGGGTACAGGCATGCATTCTCCCTTGGCATGGTCTGGCACTTCCTTCGCTCAAAAGAAGGGAATGTTGCCACATACCACTGCAGAAGTCCTAGTCCCCATACCAGCAGTTAGGAGGCTGTCTGAGGGGCTCTTGCCTGCATGAAAGGCATCTGTCAGGTAGCAATACTGGTGTGCAAGGCGCATATGCAAGTCCTCAGCAGCCTCGGGCTCTCTCTCCGGGCAGGAGCTGGAGTGGCTGCTGGAGATCAACCGGCTCACACACCGGCTGCTGTGTAAACACATGACCCTGGACAGCTTCGACGCCATGTTTCGGGAGGCCAACCACAATGTGTCCGCCCCCTACGGCCGAATCACCCTGCACGTCTTCTGGGAGCTCAACTTCGACTTCCTCCCCAACTACTGCTATAACGGCTCCACCAACCGGTAAGGGGGTCTCAGGGCGAAGTGGCCTGGGGCGGGGGTGCGCGTGCATGCTAAGTCCCTTCAGTCTTTAAGACTACGGACTGTAGCCCTCCGGGCTCCTCTGTCCGTGGGTTTCTCCAGGCAAGGATGCTGGAGTGGGTTGCCATGCCCTCCTCCAGGGGACCTTCTCCACCCAGGGATCGTACCCTCTTCTCTTACATCTCCTTAATTGGCAGGTGGCTTCTTTACCACTAGCGCCACCTGGGGGCAGGGGTAGAAGCAGCCAACTCTCTCCTTTAGAGGAGGCGCTCTCAGTATCATCAGGGCCTGGCTCATGGCTAGCTTTGAATAAATATGTGCCAGATGCAGGAAAGGGCCTGGGAAGAGTCCACACGCTTAGCAAGATGGGCTTCCGGTCCTCTAAAGATTTGGGAATTTCAATTCTCTTGACCAGAGATCTGCCAACTCCAGCCCACAAGCCACCTCTAGTTGTCAACTGTTTTTGTTCAACCCATGAGCTAAAAATGGTATTGATATTTTTAAATGGCTGGGGAAAAAAAAATCCAAAGAAGAATTATAATTTGGTGACAGGTGGAAATTATTTGACATTCAGAAAGTTTATTGGAATTCTGCCATCCTCGCTCATTCATTTACAGTTGTTTATGGCGCTCTCATGCTACAGCAGAGCTGAGTAGTTCCAACAGAGACCATCTGGCTTGCAAAGCTGAACATATTTGCTATCTGGGGCTTTACAGAAAGAGTTAGTAGCACCCTACTCTTGAGGAAACCAAACTGGGTGAAGGGTCCTGGAAAAGGCTGTGCTCAGGCTCAATTCATTCTCAGCTTTCTTGGCCACTGTTCTCAGCAGCTGTAAGCCCAGAGTTGAGCCTGTGAACCTGGACTGCTGTGTTCCCGTTTGTTCTTTGCGACCCCATGGACTGTAGCCCACCAGGCTCCTCTGCCCTTGGGGATTCTCTAGCATGAATACTGGAGTGGGTAGCCATACCCTCCTCCAGGGGTCTTCCCAACCCAGGGATTGAACCCAGGTCTGCCGCATTGAAGGCAGATTCTTTACCACCTGAGCCACCAGGGACGCCCTTATGAAAAGGAGACAGGGGTTAAACAGGAGTTTGTCACAAGAACTGTATAGGCAACCGCCTAAGAAACAGTGTGGTTGCCCCTGGTCAGGAAGGGCTCCTGCTCTGTAACCCGTGAAGAATGTTAGGACCCAGTTAACTCCTGCCCCATCTCTTTTCTCCTACTAGTTTTGTCCGGACTGCCATTCCTTTCACCCAAGAACCGCAGAGAGATAAACCCGCCAACGTCCAGCCTTATTACCTCTATGGGTCCAAGGTGAGTGGTCTTGCCTGTGTCCTACTTCTGAGAGGAACTAGTGAGCAAAAGAAAATAGAAAAGTGTTCCCCGAATCAGAAAGGCAAAAAGCATGCAGATAGAGAGGCAGCAGTGAGGTCCAGGCAGAAACAACTGCAAATATATTCATCTTTATTTGTTCACAACTAGCAAGACTGGGGTGAGCGCAGACCTGGCGGGGCTGGGTTCTGGGTGGGAATGGAGAAACAGGTGAGAGGGTCTCCTTGTCTTGGCGTCCCATCTCCTCCTGTTCTCAGTTGATTCGTCGTATCATCCTGCGATTCTGGGATTTTGTGCTCTGTAACTATGAGGGATTTGCAGCCAGGAAGCAGTTGGGAAGGTGGAACTTTGAAGGAAATCCCAGATGGCCAGAACTACCTCTGCGAGGTCTCATCCTGTCTCTTTGCTGCTTGGTTCACAATGCTGATCCCGACACTAATGAAGCCTCCCAGGCAGTGTCTGTTCTGGACCTTCAGTCCTTTGCCAATCATCAAACAGATATTCCTTAAGCCCTAGAACATGCTGGGCAGGGCCTCCATGCTGGAGATTTAGCAGAGATCGAAGCAGACTCATCTCCACCCTTCTCCACTTCTGTTTCCTCCCTGGGGAGTGGGCACAGGGGATCACCCTCCACAGATTCACCAACACCTTGATGTGTGTAGGAGATTGTCTCTTACCCTGCGGGTTTGTGTGTGAGAATGCCATGGAAGGAGTGCAGAAACAGCTAAAAAGCCTAGGTTCTTTTTTGTGATGGGTGAAAAATGGCCACCTCTGACCCCATTTTTCACAACATAAGCACAGATGGACTTAGCAGTGACTGGATAAGTGTAACATGGTTAGACAAGGCACTCCTCTAGGTATGGGAGCCCTGGTTTGGGAAGTGTAAGGAACCAAGATGAGTGCCCATCACTCGGGCCTGAAGGTGGGAAAGTGGGGCTTAGAAAGTCTCAGGCTGATGCTGAGAGAGAGCAGGTGTCTCCTCCAGAGCAGCCAGTCTGGTCAAGGCTGCTCTCCCAGGGCACCCTTCCAGACAGTCTTGTGGACAGTTCACAGGCATGGCATGAATTAACAGTGACTCACAAAGGGACTCCCCATTCTATTCTCTTTTAAACCTTGCTGATGATATCAAGGAGCAAGTCTTGAGTTGGTGTCAAAATGTCGTTAATAGCTCTCCAGCAATTGCTAATTTCCCTTTTTATCAAAGAGTGCAGACCCTAAGCTCAGAGTCCTTAGATGGTAATAGTATCCAAGTCAAATTTTTAAGATGATTTTGTTTTCATTCCACTTATTATGTCTCTTTCCTTCTATTTATTATAGCGGAAGGGTGCTGGTTTTTCATTTGGGGAGTAACATGGGCTTTCTTTTAAAAGAAGTTTTTTAAATGACTCAATATAAAGAAGCATTGTTAATAATAGTACTGATAGTCTGTGGTTTAAAAAAAAAGTGAAGACGGGGTACAAGTGGTGTGCAATTGGCTGAAAGTAGCAAAATACTCTAGAGCAAAGTCTCTCACATCTTTCCAAAATAATCCCCCCACCCCTGTAAGAGCAAAGGAGCCTGGACATTTGCCTCAGCTGACTGAAAGTGTAACTAAAGAGCCTATCTTCAATTAACTCAACAATGTCCTTGAAGTGTGTTTTATTTCAGCCATGTCAGTTTCACTTTCTAACCTATAATATACTAATGGTTGTTTTAATTTTAAAATAGTGCTTTTATTTTCTAACTGAGCCCTGCTGCTCTAGATGGACCCTCCTACGAGATGCCATCTTCCTCCCCTTGCCCACCAGGGGTGTGTGTGTTTTCCAGCTTGAAAGGCTTTGTCCAAGGGCACTCATCCAACCAAGTAGCTCACAAGACCTCAGTCATTTGAGGGAAGATGAGTGGGTAGTCTACAGATGCATTTTTACAGGAGACCTATTGCATGGAGGCCTTTAAGCTACATGATGTGGGGTGCCTCCTCCCCACCCCTCACTACCCAAAACGAGGCAATGCAGCCTGACCACCTCCCTCCCTCTGCAAGGCACCCACATCGGGGGCATGCCGGCTGGCTTCCACTGCTGCCGCTTCAGCGGCTGGTCCCGCATCTTCTCCAGAGTTTTTGCGTGGCAGCTCCACCAGGGGGAGCCCCTGCAGCCCTTCTTCCCCCTGACCTAGCCCCGGGGCCTCCTCTGGCCATCTCACCAGCCCATTGGCCTCCTCCATGTGGCCAGCTCTGTAAGACCATCGAGGTTCGTGGCACCGGATACACCAGAACTGGAGGCAGATGAAGGCTAAGACTGCCGTGAAGCAGGCCAGCAGAATGGCCATTAGCACCCAGAGGGAGATCTGGGGGTCCACCAGGGAGCTTCCAGCGGCCAGTGGAGTCTTATCCAGGGTGTGGAACATGGTGCAGTAGTGCCTGTAGGGGAAGAGAATCTTCTTGCAGCTGATGCACAGGAAGTAGAGGGTGGAAGGGGTGAGGTGTTCCAGCACCACGGAGCTGATTGTGCGAGGTACCTTCTCCTCGTGGTGGAAGCTGTAGCGAAGATAGCCAGAGAAGATGCTGTTCCAATTGGGCCTATACATAATATGATAATAGTCCTCCAGGCAGGGCTCCGAGGACGACCAGGAAATGATGGCTCCCGTATAAGAAACGTTCCCAACCTCGATGTTCATCTCGATTCTGAAACCAGAATCAAAGTGAAGAGTGACATGTCCTCATTTAAGTGTTGATTTATGATAATCACAGCTACCGTGCATTGAGTATTCAACATGGAGGCTAATATTGCCCCCGTTTTACAGACTGAGAGATGGAGGCCAAGAGGTGACAATACTCAGCTGGGCATAGCCGAGGAATGGCAGAACCACAGTTCAGATCAGGGCCATCTCATGCCAAAGCCAGGGGCTTGCAGGCCTAGGAAAGATGCACCCAGATTGCCCCAGCCCCATGCTGCCCTGTCTCAGAATCCTTAAATACAACATGGTTCCCAAACCTTTAAAAAAAAAAAAAAAAAGGAAGAGGGAGAAGATAAAGAAATGAAGGAGAAGCCAGCACAGCCTCAGGGTCCCTGTGTTAATCCCCATGGGCCTGTGACCTCCAAGCCAGATGATTGTTGCACCTAAAATTTCCCTCTGGACCTCCTGTTTCTGCCCCAAGTGCTGTGAGTTCATTCATCTAGAATGTTCTGGCCACTGTGTTTTTAGCTTCGCAGTTCTGTTGCCCGTGGCGAGAGGCGCTTTGCGTCAGTCGCTCAGGGCCAGCTCATTTCTCCCCAAAGCCTCTGATCATGTTTCGTCCATTTGTTTGCTTTTTTCAAAGCTGAATTACCCAGGAAACTCGTTTCCCAGGTCAAGATAATCAGCTCCAAATACCAGCAGAGCTGCTCCTGTTTGATACTGCTGGTTCTGTGACTGTTAACGGTGGTAATCACCAGTCACAGTTACCGAGCAGTTGCTATGTCACAGCTCATGCTAGAAGCTCAACATACCGTAACCAATATGCTTTATTCATCACGACCTCTGAACTAGATTCCCATTTTACAGACGAGCAATCTTAAGAGAAGCCATCAGCTAACAAGACCCAAAGCCACGTAACCTCTGAATTTCCAGGTTTAGTAGTAGAATGTTATCACAAAATGAGGTGCAGGTACTAAGACTGGCTTGCTGCTTTTTCCGACACATCAAATGATCCCTCTTCTGGCTGCCACCCTCTCACTTTGGTTAAGAGTGCGCCATCTTCAAGCTTTTTAGTTTCTTTTTAATTCCGTGTATTTGAGAAAATTCAGTTCTTCTCTGCTGAATTGCCCTTGAGTTAAAATTCTAGAGACAGCCATAGTCAACCTGTGTATGTTCACAGATAGGTATCACCCAGCCCAGTCCTCTGCCCCCATTCTCTCATATGAAAGACAGAGGTTTCATTTCTGACTGCAGCAGCATAGTAAAAAAACAGTTGATCAGATTTTAACCTGAATTGGATACTAAGCCAGACTGGTTCCTCATGAGCTTATTTCTCTCCTCCCTGCCTCCCTCTGACCTCCTATTCTCATGCCCTTGCTCCTAGAGAAGGTGAGCTGCAGAAAGGTGCCCAGCAATGAGTGATCCTCAGTGCTTGATTTTCTTATCTAAAGATGACAGTAAACTACAATGCTCAGGAAGAGGAATGAGTTCCTTGCCATTTGGCTGGAAATGTTTTCCCAGAAAAATGGGGAATGAAAGGGACGAGGCAGGGGTGCTCAGATCCCTCCAGGAAGAGAGTCTTTTGCAGAGGAGCCTGAGAACCTGCGTGCCCTCCGTGGGTCTCCGTACATACACACCCGTCCCAGTACCTGCCACGACTCCACAAATATACTTCCGACCACAATGAAAAGAGCTTAATTCATTACTTGTGCTACAGAGGCAATAGCCCTTGTAAACCCCTCCATCCGAAGTGATTGGGAATCCTGTTTCCTGTCATGAATCTCTCACATCTGCGCTGGCTATCTTTGCAGACTGAGTTTTCTACAGCAGACATTTTAAAAAGCTTTCTGTCAAGATGTGGCATTCACAGTTTTTAGGATTAGATGTCTCCCTGTATTTGTTTTTCTCCTTCTGTCTCTCAATCCCCCCTATTTTTAGCTACTCATATTACCATTGCCTGGCTCTCCTCCAAGCAGAGTGTGAAAGGAAAAGCCATTTCCATTCCCAAGAAGAGCCGTGTATGTCCCTTACCTGATGCTCGCAGTGATCCGGTTATTAGGCACCCTTCAGAGGCAGAGTGGATCAGAGCCCAAGGATGCTGCCTTCTCCCCTCCTCTGCTTTGGGCTCTCTAGGCTCTCCTTGATGTCTCTCTCACCACTGTCTGAGTAATTGCACTGTCGCCCCCAACGCTCACATTATTCATTTCTTCAGATCAGCATCATTCACCATGGCAACCAGCAGGCATCTGTACACACGATGTTTCAGTCTGGAAAGGCTTTTGCTCATTGAGAGGAGCTCTGATTCCTTCAGCCCAAAAAAAGGCAAA